TTTATTCTATTACGAAACCGAACAAGCAAAACTCTTACTCATTTCCTATAGTCACAGAAAGAAAAACTCTAAATCACTATCATTAACATTAATCACAGCGCAGTATCAATGAAAATGAAAAATTTTGATAATGTTTCTTATTACTCACAGGCGCAGCATCTCTTCGTAAGTTGGTTGAAGTACGATGAATCAATAAGGAACAATCGACAATTATGGTCGATTAAGGAGCAACTTTCACGAACCTAACTGAATACCAATGATTTCTTGTACGATCGAGAATATACACACTTGCTTGGCGAACACTCGCCGAGTGATGTCGTACAGCCTGATACGCTAACTTTTATGCAAGGTCCCCACTCTGTCCTGTGGTGTTTCCCTGACTTCGAACGACATTATTCGCGACCGAGTCTGTTGCTCGCATCGACAGATTCACTGTCTTGCATTGTAATCGGAATTTTACCCTTTGTATTTTTTATTTTATATTCCCATCACGATATGTAGCCTCTTCGAAACTGGATATAATAATATTTGAAAACGATTGGTATTTGCTCATTAGTGATATGTACAATCTCATGAAACTTAGGCTTGTATAGTTAACCCCTTCGCCTATGATTTTTTCGATAGTCAAAGCTAACTATTCATTGCTTAAATTTTAAGATAAAGAAAATTGAAATATCATGCACACATTGTATTCAAATATTCTTGATTGGGCAAATTAGAATTAGAATTAAACTTAAAATTCAACTATATTAAAAGTTCCAGACAAATTTGACACATTTGAAGTGTAAGTTGCGTTATGTGACTCAATATTATATGGCAAAGGGTTAAGGAGAAGGGATGTCCCACCACTCGCCTTATTTTTCTATATTTTTTATTTGTAAATATAAGAGATAGAGAGAATCTTCTCCTAAGATTAGGAGTAAATGATGAGTAGCTTACGTTGCACCTAAATATACAGTACCGAGAATAATAGATTTGGTACAATATTCTAGAATCACCATGCATTATTTCTTATAAGTGTACAGTATTAAGAATAAGCTTCCCTTGGAAAAATGGTAATGTAGGGGAAGAAGGCCCTCACCTTCAGAATTACCATGCATTAATTCCTGTGAGTGTACTGTGCTAAAAATAGTGGACTTCCCTAAAAAAAATAATGAAGTAGGGAAAGTATGGGATCACCATACACCATTTTCCAGCGAGTGTACAGTACTGAGAATAGTAGGTTTTTTTTGGGAAAGAGGCTGTAATACTCAAGAATTATTTTTTCCTAAAGAAGTCCACCATGCCTCTTACTGTACAATACTCAATTTTATTATTATTTCCAGTAAATTAGAATAACACAAAAATGCAAAATTCAATTAAATTTCAACTACATGAAGCTTCATGAAAATTTTCCTCGCCTCTGTTCAATTTAGCATCATAATAATACGTACATACATGAATGCATTATCTCGGTAGTAATTGATCCTTCGGTTTGAACTTATAAACCCAAGTTGAAGGAAGACGAGCATGGACCTTGAGGAGATACATTGCACCGAGTACCACGCATACACGAGTCACGACTTTCTGCAAGGTCTTTACGGTTTCATTTTGATCGTTTATCCCTAGTCGAAACTAACGACCCATTTGTTTAGCATTAATAACCGCCGGTTCAGCAAGTTTTTTACATTCCTGATTCGTAGGATCCTAGTGTCCTTGCCCGGTTAAACCGTAACGTCCTCCGATTTCCACTGGGTCATCCTCGACGATCGTGATCGTTTCAAGGGCTCCCCTTACGGGAATTGAATAAAAAATCGCCGAGTAACACACCGGTTGCATTTATTCAGGGCTTTATTATTCGTTCAGAAGGAAATCCTACGAGAGATTTTCTATTTCTGCTTCAAAGAAATTTTATGCACGACAATTATTGGAAATTAATTAATTAATTACATTATAATATAATCTAAAAGATGTAATCATATTAACAGGTTGAATGCTACAGTGAAAATGGGCATTTATTGTGAGATGTATTGAAGCTCTAATTATTATTAAGAATAGGAATAGTTAATTTTCAAATTTCAATCTTTCTATTTGCTGTTTTACATATTGTTTAAAATGATGTTTTTCTATTATTTTGCTTTCAATTATTCAGATATGTATAATTTACGGCGCCGATCACCGATGACCCCCATGACAATCAACGTGTTAATCATCTAAATAAAACTTTTTCTATCAGCAATAAACTTAGGATTGTTATGATGCTACTTATGTTTTTTGGCTAACAGAAAAATTCGATTTAAAAGAAAGATAAACTTGCTATTCAACGTTTCTAAACGTTATTTTGAACGTCACTATGGCGGCTGTATCAATAACAATCCCATAAACACAAATAAAGAAAAGAAAAACAGTGGGACCTGTTCTGAATCCCATTATCGCCAAAATTACGACTTCTTATATATGCAACTATGTATACACAGCCTACGGAATAAATTTTTTTTTCCTAACTTCATTTACCTCATTTCTAAAGTTCTTATAACTTGTTCTATAAAATAATAATAAATTACAAGATCAACAATTTTGAAAAAAATTTAGCTTATACAAATGGAACTTCTGTTTTTGTAAAATAAGGTAAACACTAATAAATACCAGATCAAAGATGAATTTGAATTACAGATTTATATGATATTTTTTCGTTTTCTTTTGTTTTTTGTTTGTAATAGTATGAGACCACTATTTTTTATTAATAATATTTTCACTGCTTTTTATTTTGAATATTATTAAGCCATTGAACTCGTATGTCATGCTGAAGATGACATAAATTTTGTTGTAAAACTTATGTTTCTTTATCAAAAAGATTAGATTCTACCGTTGTATATCAATTTACTTAATTTGAATTTTAAAAAATATACATAAGTGGACGCGCAACAACATTGAAAACGAATCGAGTTCAAAGGGTTAATAATACATAGTAAAGAATTAAGAGATTAAATAATTTTTAATTAATTTCACTTTCACCCTCGTTTTGTTTCTTTTTTCTTTTTAATACAGAGCCTTTATTTTGTGGTTTTTTAAAAATATTTTAAATATCTTATCCATTTCATCTGATATCCAATAAACTCTTAGAATACTTTATAATTTCATATCATTTTAGAAAATTTGTGTACCTCGTCGTTATCATTACCAAACAGTATACCGTAAGTTACACGCAGAATAAGTACTTGAGTACACATAATTATCGAGAGAAAAAAAATGTAAAATGTTTGTTCTTGTGATCGATCAGCCACTACTTGATTAATTTCCTAACAGTTTTCTTCCGTCAATACATTGCAGGAAATCAAAATCTATTTATAACAAATGGGTGTGTTGTATAATTTGTTAACTTTCTCTTATGTATCTTGTAAGATACGCAAGTTTATTAAATTTTAAAATGCATCACAATTTTTCCACAAAATTAATAATAATTTTCTGGAAAATTATGCTGTTTGGCAGCTTCAAGGTGTTAGTATTTACATGAACATTCATTTTCGAGGAAAATAATATTATTGTTTCAATTTTCACTCCTCACTGTAATATACGAAATACGAGTTTTGGAACAATATTTGTAATGCGTCCATTGAGTACTAAAATTGCAAGTGAAATATGTCCGCCGCAAGTCAGACACAGCAAGACAATGAAACACTATTTAAGAAGCTTTTACATTCATAAACTGATGTAATAGAAAATTTTAAATGCTTATAAACAGAGAGTAATGATTTAACAATCTTAAGAAAATGACAAAGATAGTAGACAAAATTTATATATTATGAAACTATGACTTATAATTAAATAATTCTTTGAGAAACAAATAATACTAATAAAATATACTTTCTGTTGTAATGATATAAAGTTCTATTTCAGGAAAATCATGAAGTATTTAAAATGTCGATTTTAATTTCTTATGAAACTAAAATGATTTAGCAATGAGATTTACAAAATTGTTTTAAATAATTATATAAAATTTGCTCATTTGAAAAACAGTTGCCTTACGTAACGATGCGCCATTACCCCACACACACGTATTTTTGTACACGATATCGGAATGACGAGCGTAACAAATTTAACACGATAAACAAGGGAACTTTCTGTTATTTGGGACGTCCTTCAAAATACGAAATTTTAAATTTTTCTATGTTTAAAAATGGTCTATTTAATCATTTTCAAAAAAATATCAATTATATGACGTTGACTCATTAGTGGATGACACTTGAATTTCCATAGGAATATCCATATTAGGAATCCTCTGTTTTATCTGATTAAAAATCCTCATATTGGATACTTGAGTAATAGGTATAATAAAGTATTGTGAAAGTGATAGATAAGATTTAGTCACAATAAAAATATTGTCAGTGTGTTAGGCGTTAATTAATTTATCAGGGACTACTGATAAGCATATATGTCAGTGAAAGGTGCAGAATACTCTACTGATTAAATCAATGATATTTATGAATATTATTATGATAAAAATGAAATAATTTCAGAACAAACACCTCTTTTATATATGATTTGCATCATATCAATGTGTTAATTCATCCAGTGACCTATTAAACCGCTAAAAATACATTAACTTCAAAAGCAAATTTTGAATTTGATAAACATAATTTCCTCTATAAGAACAAAACAGTGTACTCTGACGAGTTAAATTACTTACCACAAGATCATTGATGTATGAGCAATGAATATTTCCAAACTTCAATTTCTTCAATCAGGTAACAAAGGATGTAAAGTTATGGTGAAATGTTAAAAAAAAAATCACGAATACCAATGGATCAATGTAAAAACTAATTCTAGCCAAGATTATGTTCTACTTGGGTAAGGTTGGAGTACCGGTGGGAGGCAGCCACATAATTTTCACCGCTGTTCTCGGACGGCCAGGGCCGTCCAAATTCGTCTCGTTGTCCACCCTCTACCGCGATTCCAACATCAACTCTATACTAATTTCCTGGTTCGTAGCATGTCTGATCCGCAGACATAGTCACGTCGAGCTTTTGCGTGGGCAGACGCTCTGGCCAGCCCTGGAGGCGTCCCGCGTGCCCATCTTCGGTAGCGTCGCGTACGCTGCGGATGTTATATCTGGCGTCGCGGCGCCCTCGAGCTTCAGCCGCTCCTCAGCCGTCCGTCGATTCACAACTCACCCCCACGGTTAGTAATTTTGCGAGATTTCGTTATACTTTCAATCTTCGAGAAGAAGTTCTGGTGTATAGTGAAGCAGGATCGAGTCTATTATTCGTGCTTGGTGGTGACATAGAAGTGATCGAATAAGATCAATCGATAGAATTTGGTAATCGTTACGAGTTGTAGTAGGTGCGCGAGAACATTGTCTAAAGTGCGGAAGGTTATTTTCAAAGCAAATAGGATTTGGTCTCCTTATAATTAATTGAAAAGTTCCAAAGTGATCCATATTGATTCATATCAGACATAATTCTTCTTCTTCTTTCTGAAAGTTTCAAAAGTATATTAGGGGAAATATCAGAAGAATAATAGAAAATATATCACCACTAAAAGTTATTTTTGATATCGAATTGAAATTTTCTAGTTCCATTTCTAACTTATTGAGAAGCAGTTTGATAAAAAAGAAACGGCAATAATTTTCTAATTATTAGTTTCAACGACAGTATCTAACCTGAATAAATCTGTTTTCAGAGATATTAAAATAGCAGCAAAATGTGTGACGACGAAGTAGCAGCCCTTGTTGTCGACAATGGTTCCGGTATGTGCAAGGCCGGTTTCGCCGGAGACGACGCACCCCGCGCCGTCTTTCCCTCGATCGTTGGTCGCCCCAGACATCAGGGTGTGATGGTCGGTATGGGTCAAAAGGACAGCTACGTCGGTGACGAGGCCCAAAGCAAAAGAGGTATCCTCACCCTGAAATACCCGATCGAGCACGGTATCATCACCAACTGGGATGATATGGAGAAGATCTGGCATCACACCTTCTACAACGAATTGCGTGTGGCCCCTGAGGAACACCCAGTCCTTCTCACCGAGGCCCCCTTGAATCCCAAGGCTAATCGTGAAAAGATGACCCAGATCATGTTCGAAACCTTCAACAGCCCAGCCATGTACGTGGCCATCCAGGCCGTGCTGTCCCTGTACGCCTCCGGTCGTACCACCGGTATCGTCTTGGACTCTGGTGACGGTGTCTCCCACACCGTACCCATCTACGAAGGTTACGCCCTTCCTCATGCCATCCTCCGTCTGGACTTGGCCGGTCGCGATTTGACCGACTACCTCATGAAGATCCTAACCGAGAGAGGCTACAGCTTCACCACCACGGCTGAGCGAGAAATCGTTCGTGACATCAAGGAAAAACTTTGCTATGTCGCCCTGGACTTCGAACAGGAAATGGCCACCGCCGCCGCTAGCACTTCCCTCGAGAAGAGCTACGAGTTGCCTGATGGACAGGTCATCACCATCGGTAACGAGAGGTTCCGTTGCCCCGAAGCTCTCTTCCAACCTTCCTTCTTGGGTATGGAATCCTGCGGTATCCACGAGACCGTGTACAACTCCATCATGAAGTGCGACGTCGATATCCGTAAGGATCTGTACGCCAACAACGTACTCTCCGGTGGTACCACCATGTATCCTGGTATTGCTGACCGTATGCAGAAGGAAATTACGGCCCTCGCCCCATCGACCATCAAAATCAAAATCATCGCTCCCCCTGAGAGGAAATACTCCGTATGGATCGGTGGATCCATCTTAGCTTCCCTGTCCACCTTCCAACAGATGTGGATCTCCAAACAGGAGTACGACGAATCAGGCCCTGGCATTGTCCACCGCAAGTGCTTCTAAGCGTATCGTCGAGAAACCATCGACGTCGCACAGACATCAAGAAAACATCTCTCTGTCTGAAGAAAATCGACAATACGATCAGTCGAGTTTCTTCGAGCTATCATTACGCTGCAATAATGGAACGTTATCGGAATATTACAGAATCCGGATCATCATCAGATCTCATCAAATATACATCGCTGTGGTCATTTGTATCGTTCTTGAAGAAACGATGTCCTGGCTGATCACACTTTTAAAAACCCTTCCACCGTTTAAAAGGGTTCGCATTCATCTGTCACGTCATCGCGGCCGAGGAAACCGGCTTAGGTGTTGATTCTCCATACAGAGCTTACTCGTGGATGGCCATTTCTCGTTGACTATCAAAAAGGGTACGGTTGATGAAATTAGATCGTCTGACCGACCCACCAAATGCATCTTTTGACCGTGAAAGGGACATTCTGGATACACAAGAAAGAAATCAGGATCTTCAACGGGAGTGGACCAACTTCGACGGAAGCTTCGCTTGTTTCACTGTTATGCGAGATTCCTACACCTCCAATGAATTTCTTAATTTCAAAGCAATCTTACCATCGATACACTTTTAACTTTAATTTATTTTGTAAATATTATACACTATATTGCTATATATTGTTATACGATGTCAAAAAGTCAAGTGAAATATACATTGTCTCATACCATTATTTACACCCTTGGCTCCACTGTCTCAGTTATTTCTCTACATCTTCGAACTTTCTCCCTCTTAGTATAGCCTCAAATCCTTGTTTAGCTTACCGGTAGAACATCTGCAACACACATATATCATAGTGTCAGTATACATATACATAACATAGAAAGCTTAGAATTAATTTGAACAACATTCGTGCGGCTCTGTTTCTTGTTTTCAATATCCTGCCACAATATTGAATGTTAGTATTCAAGAACTTTGTATTCAAGTTTTAGAAATACATAACCGAATGCTGAAATACACGTCGCATATATACACAACAATTTACATTTAATTACATATTTGCATGTCGGTCTTTTGTTACAAAACATTTACATGCATATTGATGTCAAACGTGTTTCGTGCAAATTACCACAGCATATATGTTCGCCTCTTTATACACTGTAAAAAAGAAAAATTGTCGGTTTCTTTGCGGTACCAAAGCCCGAATATGTCTTCGAGAAATGTTCGTTCAAGTGGTTTTAAAATAACTATTGTTGTGACGTTGTGGTAACTCATGACCTTGGCCTATTATGACTAATCTACTCCTGAACGGTTCCTTTAACTATACGTTTTCCCAGAGGTATTTAGGAAATGCTTCCTATAAAAAGAGAATCGGACCGTATTTTTCGACAGCCCGATTTATAACCGTCGGAAGCTTCGTGAGTTTCGGATGAAAAATATTTCACTGCATTCCACGAAAGCCTTTACCGACGATAAGGTTCGCCAGAGAACCAGGGTTGGCCGATAAAAGAGTCGCAGATCCTGCGATTTATTTTCGTCCCGGTGCGTAATCTCGAAATATTCCTCCTACTCTGATATCTGGTACAAAGAAGAGAACAGTGCAGAGATCAAGCTTTATACGGTGCCAGTCTTAGAATTAACCCTCGCCCTCTTTATGACTCGAAATGAAAATTAATTTTACATAAATACTGTTTTTAATATTCGATATGCTTAAATTTTCTTAGAGAAGAATAGTGGAAACTTCTTTTCAAATAAACGAACTAAATTACTCGAGATCTTATAGATCGTTCGAAGGTTAAAAATTATATCAATCAGAGTAGATGATAATGTTAGATAATAGAATATTGAAATGGTGATTTTTCAAGATATTAGATGATAATAATATTATTGTTTTGCTAGAAGAGTGTGGTAACTAATTTTGGAAAATATTTCCATTCCTTATAAATATAGATATGAAAATTCATAGTTTGATTATTATTAATTTAACAATAATTTCTTGATGTTTGTATCGACGTTTAGAATACAGATTCATTTTTTTTCATTTCAGTTTGAAAGTTACAAAATATTTTGACTAGAGATATTCTATTATTTATAAAAATTTGAAAATTCTTTCAAACGAATAGAGTATCCGCGACACGAAATTAACTCGATAGAACTTGTCCTAACTATGATGTTACGTCCAGCAAAATGACTAGGAGGATTTTCAGCAGAAGTCTATTTGTACGCGAGATAAATCAGAGCCTTCAGTTTCCATCCGCATCATTTTCCATGCAACTAAAGTGCAACCACCTCTCGCCATGTTCAGTGTCTCTTTTTCAAACAAGATTACGACACAAGTATATAAACTCACTTCCGTAACCAAACGAAAGCAATAAATACATTTCATACATTGGTAATTTCTCGAATTGGAAGCTGTTACTCTTAACTCAAATCATTTTTAGCAAATTGAATATCGAATTTGATATGATCAAATAATTAACGGAAGAAAAGAAAAGAGAAAAAAAGAAATTTTTCAAAGCGTTACTATACACAGTAACAATTTGGAGTCTTAAATTTGAAAATTAATTATTTTTATCTGTTACAGTAAAAGCGTTAATTTAGTAAATGCATATATTTCCTAGTCATATCCATAATAAGAAAAATTTCACGGTCTGACTATACGTGCTCCTTTCCACTGTGGCGGTCAAAGTGTTAAGAAAAAAATTCTTTTAAAGATCCCAAGGAGGGATAAAATTAAATATTAATTACATGAAATTTCAAATTCGTGATTTAATTAATTATTAGAAAGGACTAGTGGATAAAATTGCTCATTATTCATTATTCTTTTTGTATTACATTTTGACCCCTCATGGAAGTTAGGTCGAGGAACTTAGACTTGATGTGTATGCTTCGACAACAAATAGATAAACAATTAAACTAGAAAACTCTTCGAGATTCGGAAGCACAACGAAAATTGCAATAAATAATACTAAATAATTGCTATATCACTTGGTTATAATGTTTTCTCCTAAAGCTTTAGTTTTTAAATAACCAAAGAATTATTATTGTTTTGATACAAAAATATCTTCAAAGTTGTAAATTTACATTTTTCTTCAGAATCCAAACTTTTTCTAAAAAATTGAAACTACTAAAAATCTACAAAGAACGCCTGTTGAATATCAAGCTTTATTGAACAGTGTAATTATTTTTCTGATTATTGCACAATTCTCTGTTTAAGAAGACCAACAAGAATTCTAACTAAAGATATAACTCTGGAACTCTAATAATACCTACTAACCACCATTTACAAGATTCCTGTGCCGTTACAAAATTGCTGAAATGATTCAGAAATACATGAAGACTTTAGTCAACTCCCGATAGAAAGATAAGAAAAATGAATCGAAGAGGTATGCGAAGGAAGGACGCCGAAGCGTTTGTAAAGAGACGTATTTTCCACGGTCCGGTTAGGGCCTGGGGCCGCCTAGTTCGGCGAGCGTCGCGACGCCACGCGAGGCAAGCCTTTTTCGTGCCTCTCGGCCAAGCACCATCCCACGAGAATGCGGGGGCGTTCTGACGAGAGCATATATTCGACGTCGCGACGCTCCCGAGGCACAGACGCCACTCCAACTCTGTCCCGTGCACGGTACGTAGAAATTTGATTTTTTTTTTTCTGGAGACGATTATTTCTACTTGGATACTATCGTCTACTCGAGAACAATCCTCGATCGGTTGTACTTGATTCTTCGATCGTCCTGAAGGAAGCCCTTCAGGAGCGTAGCGGGTGGACTTTTAAGGAAGCGGTCGAGTTCCTTCCGGTGTCTTGTATCTGAAATAGCATCGAGGGTTAATTACGTTCGAAGACAAGGTAACAGTGTAGCTTCGTTCAATGAAAATCTACTATTATTTTTTTCATTGTAAAATATTAATATTATTCAATGATAATACTTTGGTATTATTAAATTAATGCAAGGATTGGTATTTTTGAATTGATTGCTTGTATCGTTTTCCAATCAAGCACTTTTTAAAATTTTCATTCAATCAATTTTTGATCTATTTTGTTAATACTTGGATTACTTAATCAAGTTGGTGGAAATTTGAGGATGGTGTATTTGTTGCACGTAGTAGCTGACAGTATCCAATATTACATAACTTTCTTTTATAATTGTGAATTATTCTCGTAGTTCTCGTTGACGGAAAGTATTGTATTACAACTTTCAAAAAATGTATCCTGAATGAGCTTTTGAATTTTAAATTATTTGTCGCTCTTTTACTATTTCTCTGAATAACTTTTAGAATTTCTTTAAACCTGATACAGAATAACAGAGAATTTTAACTATGAATTATAAAAAATAATTAAATAGCTAATATTCAATTTGGAAATAGAAATAATAGTTTCTCAATTCTGAAATACCAAAGAAAATCTATTAGCGTTTTCTAATATTACATATTTTAGAAAAAACCAAATAAACAGTTACAAATTTTTAAAGTAACAAAATTCTGATGGATCATTCCAAAAAAAAATTACTATGAAATTTGTTTCAATATACCTGGATTATTTCAAATTTTTAATCTTCTCTTAAAGTAATGTAAAAATCATCTTTTGCAATTCGACAGATACTTTCCATCAACTAATATTTTCCAAGCTCTACTAACTCTGAAAAACGTTATTTCACGTGCGAACTTCTTCCCTCGTCTTTGAAATTCCTCTAAGCAGCTAATCACGAGTGCCAAAAATACTCTTACGAGGCGAATGGCCGGCTCTATCGTCATGTTTAGGCATATTCGAGGTCTTTGCCCGTGTGCGAAGCTCGTCCTTTTGTGAGCAGAGCATAATTTTGGCACGCGCGGGCCTCGTCGTTATGCTTTATCCTCTCGGTCCGAGCGGAGCCGCGCCGAGCGGTGCTGCTCACCATAATCGTCGCTTGCACTTATTAGGGATCGTCCGTCGATCGTACGTCTAAAGTTAGCGTCGCGGCGCACCGAAATAGTGCCGCGACGCCGGGGCCGCTTGCCTATCGTTTTATAGGCAACTGGGTCAATTCTGGCGGACACCGCCGCTTTCCCTCAAAACGTCGCCGTGTTGTACTTGATTTTTTTATATCGTTTCTTTCTATCCAACCTTGTTTCACGCTTCAACAATATTTACGAAACACAAGATTCTTCTTTTTCTTTTCGATTATTATTTTTGATGAATTATTTCACAATTTCACGTCACGTATTGTTCGTATTTAAAACCTTTCCCTGAAATGTTTCTGTAAATAATAAACTTGTTACTTATTAAAAAAGCTTAAAATATGTTTCACTTATTCATTGATAATTTAGCCAAATTTAAAATTGAATAAGACCTAAATTCTTCTATTGTGATAATAGATGTCAGAATAACAGTTTACAAATTTTTTAAATAATTCCATCACCACTAAATTAAATGCAAACAACTTGGACGATCGATAGAGTGGCAGTGTCATTTGCTATGAATTTTGAAATAATTCAGACAGATCGAAAGCTTTAGTATTTTCGACCACAATGAAAATAGAAGCCTAGTGAAATGCAATATTAATAAACTCATGTATTAACGAAATCGAGCTAACGAAATTATACAAAGCAAACAACAACTAGCAACCAAGAACGGACGCGATTTCTGTTACAGAGAAATAAAATCGAAGAAGAAACAAAATGTGTGACGACGAAGTAGCAGCCCTTGTTGTCGACAATGGCTCCGGTATGTGCAAGGCCGGTTTCGCCGGAGACGACGCTCCCCGCGCCGTCTTCCCCTCGATCGTTGGTCGCCCCAGACATCAGGGTGTGATGGTCGGTATGGGTCAAAAGGACAGCTACGTCGGTGACGAGGCCCAAAGCAAAAGAGGTATCCTCACCCTGAAATACCCGATCGAGCACGGTATCATCACCAACTGGGATGATATGGAGAAGATCTGGCATCACACCTTCTACAACGAATTGCGTGTAGCCCCTGAGGAACACCCAGTCCTTCTCACCGAGGCCCCCTTGAACCCTAAGGCTAATCGTGAAAAGATGACCCAGATCATGTTCGAAACCTTCAACAGCCCAGCCATGTACGTGGCCATCCAGGCCGTACTGTCCCTGTACGCCTCCGGTCGTACCACCGGTATCGTCTTGGACTCTGGTGACGGTGTCTCCCACACCGTACCCATCTACGAAGGTTACGCCCTTCCTCATGCCATCCTCCGTCTGGACTTGGCCGGTCGCGATTTGACCGACTACCTCATGAAGATCCTAACCGAGAGAGGCTACAGCTTCACCACCACGGCTGAGCGAGAAATCGTTCGTGACATCAAGGAAAAACTTTGCTATGTCGCCCTGGACTTCGAACAGGAAATGGCCACCGCCGCCGCCAGTACTTCCCTCGAGAAGAGCTACGAATTGCCTGATGGACAGGTCATCACCATCGGTAACGAGAGGTTCCGTTGCCCCGAAGCTCTCTTCCAACCTTCCTTCTTGGGTATGGAATCCTGCGGCATCCACGAGACCGTGTACAACTCCATCATGAAGTGCGACGTCGACATCCGTAAGGATCTGTACGCCAACAATGTACTCTCCGGTGGTACCACCATGTACCCTGGTATTGCCGACCGTATGCAGAAGGAAATCACTGCCCTCGCTCCATCGACCATCAAGATCAAGATCATCGCTCCCCCCGAGAGGAAATACTCCGTATGGATCGGTGGTTCCATCCTGGCTTCCCTGTCCACCTTCCAACAGATGTGGATCTCCAAACAGGAGTACGACGAGTCCGGCCCAGGCATCGTTCACCGCAAGTGCTTCTAAGCAGTTATGCTCGATTCAAATTATTATTTCTATCAATATTGTTATTGCTACACCTTTTTCCCAAAATGCACCGTTCACTGCCGTATCGCTTCGTTTTAGTTGCGTATCCGTTAGTTCAATCCTATCGGCACTCGTTCTACGTGGCGGTGAGATTTTTTCCGACGAACATGGTCTGAACATATACGTCATCTTTTGTATATAAGTTTACATCTACGGAATAAATCAGTCTTATATTCTTACAACTAATGAAAACGTAGCTATTCATTTTACGATTCCCTAAATATCGATTCATTTCTAATTGCGGTATATCTTTAGTATACTAATTTTCACTACAATTATACAACATTGCGTTCTTTTAGTTGGTTGATCTAATTAAAACAATATTCGTCACTTTGTTATGATTAAAGGTCGGTCGAGCAAGTGTCGTGCATTTGCAATAGAATAGAATAGTACACATTAGAGGATGATTTGGAAAAAGAAGGGTAGGTTCAGTTATCGTACACCGATAATTGTAACGAGAGAAGAAAACGAAATAGATGATCTCGGTTCTAAACAAAATTCTTAGGATACATTTTATTACATTGTCTATAAAAACCAGTCTAATGGCACTAGTATATTGTATGTACATAACATATATTTTGAAGGGGGTGGTATGCATCATCTACCATGCATGGGAGTTGAATCATACATAGGGGTAACTCATTCCTTCTACCACAATTACCGGGAATATCCGATTCGGCTGCTTTACACTTATCAGAGATAGATGCACCCTCATCCAGGGATAGATTCCTGCATACTGTTGGCTTTTCCCTTCAGCGTAGTCCAAGCCTTGAGTGTTTGATTTGTTTGAGTCCTTTGTACTGCCATACCTGCAAAGTTTTTATTTTGTCAGTATAATTTATAACTCGCATTTACACAGAACAAATGATTTGATATCCCTTATGGAGCTTTTTTCAAACTCTTTCAATTCTCTAAACATACATATCAAATAACATCAATTTAAAATTTTTTATCTAAATTTATTTTAAAATATCAGAAATTATTTTATAGATTAATTTTCATAATATTTTTATCTTACCGTTGAAGATTATCATTATTCAACCGATAGATGAGTTCACAGAATACTTTGATCTTACACGTGTTCGTCCGTAAAAGAAAATCGTATCACCTTCGATCATTCTGTTTCTTGTCATCCTGCTACGCGAGCACGAAACTTGCAAACCTTTCGTCGAATCCACCACCGCGTGTACGTATTAGGAATTCCGTGTGAAAGCTTCTTTCCGATAAAGACGCGCCGTTTCGGGGTTGAAACTCTGCAATGCGAATCTGCGAATCGGTCCGATGCCTCTGCCGTGGTTCTAGCAGAAAGGTGGAGGGGATCGGTGGTGGCTCGAGCTACGTCGTCGCCCCGCGCACTCCCAATTATAGAAATCAGCCTAATCGTCCAATAATTCGATTCTATACACTTTTCATCGACCAGCTAATCGGCCCATTTGCACCGACGTTACATACGATCGTAAATTCAGATCATTTAACATTGAAAATGGCATCACGTGTCGACTATAATTCAGATTATTATCGTTGGCACGGTGCATACGTTTATGACCACGAATGACAGATCAAAATGCCCATCTTAGCCATGTTTAATGACACTTTGGCTTTGATGTGACACAAGTTCCTTTTTTTAAATTCAAGGGAATGAAATTGAATTATTATTATCTTATGATAATCTTGTTTTCAACCTTCATTGAGATTATAATTTGCTTCATTTTCTATTTTAAATCGATTGGAATTGCATTCGTTTCCCGGATGAAGATATATAGACTGTACATTCATCAAGAACACTTATTTGCAGAAGTTTCAGCATAAACGAGTGAGTCACGATTCTCGTATTAGCTGAAAATATAGACCTAATTCAGAAACACTATAGTCACAAAGGAGATATTCATCTTTATGTCTATAAACAATTAAGGAATGAATTTATTGAGTCTACTTTGTATGAACTTCAATTTGATATCGTTATAATTCTTACGTATATTAATCATTCATTCTTTGATGCAAAATCAGCTTTAACTCAGTTCTAAAAAAAGCCTTTCTATGCAGAAAATCATAAATCACATTTTACCATTAATCGCGTGAACTTCATAATCCCCCTGCTAACTCAATTCTAAAAACCTTCCACACTTCGTACGATATGTCAGAAATGGAGATGGGGTCCACGGAGACCCACCCTCCGTTTAAATTCGAAATGGTTGCATCGAAACCGAAGAAGCAGAATCGATAATAACACGGATGCCCTTCGACCCTTGATGAATTAGCACCCGAAGAACGACGTCCCTGGCGTGTGCCGAGTCCTTATTTGGATTGGGGGGCCGTGTGCCGCCGCCTCGTCGCGACGCACGGCGTCTCTCCCTCTCGGCGTCACGGTTAGGGCGGCTAAGGACTAGGCGGTGGCGGCGGGCTGAGACGAGTGTTAATGCACGATAGATTTCCATCTAAGGGGCGGATCGCTATTTTCGGCTGCGAACCGATATGGATAAAGGGACCCCACAGAGCCGGCACAGTGCCACTCGTCGCTCTCGGTCTCTTGCACGACGTACGCCCTAAGCGACCGTTGCCGATCTCTCGTCATTTAGCGAACGGTAAATCGTAAATCGAGTTTGTGTTTTGCATCCTAAGACGACATGCACCGGTGTGTGCCTTTCGCCTTGATCGTTTCGTTTGATTAAGACGGGAGATACACACGGACTGCTTTTGGTCCTCCCGGTTGAAGAAAACGGGAAACAGTGCGTTTAATATTGCCCTATTGGAAGCATGATGAAGGTGTAATCCGTCGCGTTTCAGTGATATCGTAAAGGAAATTGGTGTCAACCGTGTCGAGGACCTAGCAGTTGATCGTTTAAGAATCGTGTTGCTCGATCATGCATGTCCAGGGATAATTGTGAAGTGACTCTAATACTTGTGTTTCTTTCTTCCTTTTTTTTCTTTAATAATTGGTAACTGCTGTTTTCTGACTTCAGTAATAACTAACGACTGAGTACTTCTCTTTGAAGTAACAAAGTAATTCTATTGAAAACGGTTCATTAGAATATCTCGTTAATGAATTAAATTTCTTTTAATGAGTTAATTGTATGGTGTCATGAAATTTAGAAATTTTATTCTTGTTGCTTGCAATTAATATCAGATAATTCATTTGATAAATTAATTTAATCCTTTCGCTTCTATAAATGGCTATAGCTATCCATTATTAAATAATTACTAAAGTCACTCGATACCGATCATCAGTAAAATATGTAAAGTGGAACTTACTAAACTTACTTAACTGTATTATATTACCACAGCGAAGGGGTTAATTTATTCTTTCGTCTTTTATTAACCTCCTCTTCTTCAAAATTTCTATATTTCACTAATAATAAGTAACTCTTTTATAAAAGAAAAACTACTAATTGACACCTAATTAATATACCTACACATTACAAAAGAATATTTAAAGAGTACGGATTCTCATATACTTAATGTAATTCTCACAGAAAACTAATAATAATCAAACAAGATGTGTGATGATGATGTTGCGGCACTAGTCGTGGACAATGGGTCCGGTATGTGCAAGGCGGGATTCGCTGGAGATGACGCACCACGTGCCGTCTTCCCCAGCATCGTTGGCCGTCCACGTCATCAGGTTGGTCAAATTTGAAAATTACACACAAATCCACAAACCCTCTAATCTATCGATACCAACGTCTGACCAACGATTCTAATAACTATTCCAGGGTGTGATGGTCGGTATGGGTCAAAAGGACAGCTACGTAGGAGACGAGGCCCAGAGTAAAAGAGGTATACTTACTCTAAAGTATCCTATAGAACACGGTATTATAACCAATTGGGACGATATGGAGAAGATCTGGCATCATACCTTCTACAACGAATTGCGTGTCGCGCCTGAGGAACATCCAGTACTTCTAACCGAAGCCCCCCTGAACCCCAAGGCTAATCGTGAAAAGATGACCCAGATCATGTTCGAAACCTTCAACAGCCCAGCCATGTATGTGGCCATCCAGGCCGTGCTGTCCCTGTACGCTTCCGGTCGTACCACCGGTATCGTCTTGGATTCCGGTGACGGTGTCTCTCACACCGTACCCATCTACGAAGGTTACGCCCTTCCTCATGCCATCCTCCGTCTGGACTTGGCCGGTCGCGATTTGACCGACTACCTCATGAAGATCCTGACCGAGAGAGGTTACAGCTTCACCACCACGGCTGAGCGAGAAATCGTTCGTGACATCAAGGAAAAGCTTTGCTATGTCGCCCTGGACTTCGAACAGGAAATGGCCACTGCCGCCGCCAGCACTTCCCTCGAGAAGAGCTACGAGTTGCCCGATGGACAGGTCATCACCATCGGTAACGAGAGGTTCCGTTGCCCCGAAGCTCTCTTCCAACCTTCCTTCTTGGGTATGGAATCCTGCGGTATCCACGAGACCGTGTACAACTCCATCATGAAGTGCGACGTCGACATCCGTAAGGATCTGTACGCCAACACCGTACTCTCTGGTGGTACCACCATGTACCCCGGTATTGCTGACCGTATGCAGAAGGAAATCACTGCCCTCGCCCCATCGACCATCAAAATCAAGATCATCGCTCCCCCCGAGAGGAAGTACTCCGTATGGATCGGTGGATCCATCCTGGCTTCCCTGTCCACCTTCCAACAGATGTGGATCTCCAAGCAGGAGTACGACGAGTCCGGCCCAGGCATTGTCCACCGCAAGTGCTTCTAAAATGTCGCACCCAATATGGGGTTACACGATTTTCGACTGCTTTCTTTTCTTTTTGTTTTCTTTCCATGCTCACGATTTTCGAGCCGTGATCTCTTCACACACGCACATGAATGTATCGAAGTTAAGGAGAAGAAAGGGAGAAGAAGGTAGAAAGGGGTGGGGGAATACAAAGTTTTTGGGATACGAAAATTACTGAAGTGCCTTTATTCAACACATTTATCAGACTGTACTTTACTTTGTAGTTTATACATCACGACTGTTTGTTATTACCGTTACTTAATTTATTGACATTCTTCTCCTCGGTCATTTTTCCAAACGAGCCCTTCTCGGTCTTGTAAACCATGTATTAAGCAGATATTTACATGCACTATACGTACACGCACACACATACAGGCTATATTGAAATCGTACGCGCACGTAAAAAAAAAATATTTCTTTGGCATTTGCAATACACATACGGGGGTGGTAAACGACGAGAGTGAAGTATACGATGGAATACCATAACCAGGCGCATCGACGTCGGCTCATATTGCTGCCTGGCGTATTGTTCTTATTATACTATATGATTAATGATAATAAAACTGTATTATATAATAACTGAATGTCGGATTATGTGAACCTTTATCGTGCGCGATGTCTCAACGTGGATGATATAATGAACTCGAGCCCAAATTGCGATTTAATACTCCAAGGAATTTGAAAGAAATATTGTGTTTTGGTTTCTGATGACATTTAACTTTGGATACAGTGTATTCTGGCGCTCAGCCAATTTGTGCGTAACTTTAAGTGATTATTTATATTTTTTTATTTGCTTTAAGAGGATAGAGGATTACACGACGATAAACCGTGAAATTACTATTTTTATTTTTAAATAATTTTTCTATTTGATTTCTTAAAGTGTGATCGATAAAAAGTCAATTTAATTAAAATTTGCGCTTTCCTCTGTTATATCATGAATCAGTGATACCAGTCATTTGGATCTAGAAATAGTACCCACAGCTGTTCGCTTAGAACATTTTACGAAGACATTACCAGCCAATTAAACGATCGCAGTATAATTATCTCGAGGATGGAAATAATTAAATTTATCGGCTCTCCTTAAGATTTATATTTCAGTTCTTAGTCTCAAGACAAAAGCTTTTCGATCTACAATTCCTTCGTCTCCCCCGCGCGCATCATCGATGCCAATTTTTTTATTTCCGTACAAATAAATATTCGTTTTTCGTTATATAATAATTGTACAGAATTCCCGTAAACGGGAATTTGAAGAATATCGTCGGGTCTATTTGATCTACGATGTGGTTGTCGATTTGAATTCTTTCCTCGAAGAAAAAGCTACGAGCAAGCCGTAACCCAACACGAGCGGCAAACTCTGGTACAAATAAAGAAATAGCAAAAATAGAGTTGTTGGTAGCCGTGGATGCTTAACGGGGAGTGCATACCGGGGGTCCCCAGATTACCTCCTAGCCTTACAAGGCCCCCGAGTGACTTACGTTTATTCTGACGCTTCGATGACTAAAATTAGAGCTCGCACTCTTTGGGACGCGTGTGTGCACCTGCATGGGGTGGACGTGCGCCAGTTTAGCATCATTCCTCTTCACCAGTTAAACACACGATGAAAATGTTAAGACCGAAGAATGGATGCCCTTTGATTAACGATAACTGGAAATCCCAGCAGATAAAGACTGTTTAATTATCGTGGCATCAAATCTAAATTACCAATGATAAATTCTAGAAATCTAGGTTTTTCTTTTTAATTGAATTAGCGTTGATAAATATTTTGATCTTTTTCTGACTTTTTTATAACCCATAATATTAAAAGAATAATATTACATATTATCCTTCCCCAGAAATATTTGTTGTCTTTGCAATTACCGGCATCACTATGGGAAAAAATTTTTCTTTATATTAATACTTAATATTAATTAGTTAGCTTTTCAGTGAGTTTTGGTTAGGACTTTTAGAGAAACTTTAGATTATAAGATATAATATCATATAAGAGCAATAAAGTTTGATATTTGTTTAATTTTCTTAAAGATTTGATAAGTAATCTTTGATCTGATAATATATGACTAATATAAAAATAGAATGTTTTGAGTGATAAGCTCTGATGTTGTTCATTTATACTGACAAAGAATTCCTTTTTTATCTATTTTAATAAAAGAAATTCCTTATCACTGATAAAGTAATTTCTTTTTACAATTTTTTATAATCTTTTTTAATTAAGCACTTGGAATAATTACTAATTCATCATGAATATTTTTTTTTAGTCTCTTTAAATTAAAGGAGATAACATGATCTACATATACACACAGATACCTATATACTCTCATTTAATCATTTGATATGTTACATTTATACGCATGTCTCATAACACAAGGTATGTAGCGAACTTCTTTATCAACGAAAAACGAACAAAAAATTACTCACGTAACTTCCTTGCTTGATAAAACACCACGTATGTACTCATTTAAGTGCTTACATTGAACTGACAAAGAATTCATTCAGGTGTCATTTAAAACGATACATTATACCAAGTGTCATTTGATTTTTGGAAAAATTATAATAATTACTGCAATCATGTGTGTCGTATTAAAACGAACAAATGAAATAGATGATGAAGGAAGAGATCATCCTTTTTAAAATACAATTGCGTCGTCATGTAATACAAAAAGAAGTAAAATGTTGATAGAAATTCACGCGCTGACAAGTACAAGGAGAATAAGTTAGTGAACTGTGAATATTAACGTGTACAAAACACCTGGCGTTCAGACAAAAATTGTACTCGAAAATGCCGAGGTTACACAGTACCACGTTAATATGTTAATCGAAATATCATAGAATTTAAGAACGTAAGACACATTTTAAAATGTAATTAATATACATAAGGAAAAAATAATGTTATCTACTGAAACTCAGATCAATCTTTTATATGTATTTAATGTTATAGAAACATGTGGTTTCACACTTTATTGACCAGAAACGCCACTTGGCGCTCTAAATAAAATAACTGTTATTTATTATGTGCGCCAATTTCCGAACTTAACTATGCCTGAATTTGAAAAAACTTAATTATGAATTTGGTACCTAAAAGTAAATTAAATGACTAATAAGTCCACCGATCCTTTCCTTAGAAAAATATATTTTTAGAAACAAAAAAGTATGGTCAACAAAGTGTTGAATAAGTTAATATTTCATATAATTCAAAATTTAAATTATTATAATACAACAAATTTAAAGAATGAATGAAGATATTTTCTTTACAGATTAATATTATATTGGCACAAAATGTAATGTTAAATTATTATTATTATTGTTATTATTAGCCAAACACATTCATAATGGGAAAAATTATACCAATGAGCTGGTTGAACCAGATATTGTTGATTTTAAGTATATTATGTGTATCATTGTCTTTAATCATTCAACAATGGGCAGGTCTCATACCACTACCAATTTATATTTCTATATCATGGGCTATTTTTATTATAATAATGTCAGTATGGCTTAGTTGTTTTTTGCTTCAACTTACTTTAAAAACAAATAGCCCACTTAAAATCAAATTGCTTCACAATTGGTTATATCAAAAGTTGGCAAATAGTTTGAAACTACATAAACCAGAAAAAAAAGATGATTCTAATAGCGAATCTGAAAATAAGGCAAAGAGTAGTAATATAAATTCTGTACAAATAACTAATGAGAAAAAAACTGGCAATGTTTCAAAGATAAAGAAATTACACGACAAAACAGTTAAATCTGGTGCAAAAAGTATTTCTTTAAGAAAAAAGAAAAACGAGGAACTAAATAATTTAGTAAAAGAAATACATTTGAAGTGTATAAATGCTTGGTATAAATCCATCAGCAATGAAAAATCATTCCCTACTGAAGCACAAGAATTATTAAGAAAATTATTGACCAAACTATTTTATAAAATCAGTTCAATAGACAAAGTGGTGCTTACTCATAAATTGTCAAATGTGTTCTTATTACATTTAAAAGAATATTATAGGTATGACTTGAGAGTTTTGAGACCTTATAAAGTTTTTTAAAGTAAATTTATTATTCTATGTAACTGGTTTTTATTATAGAGCATTGCGAAGAGTAGAAAAGGGAACAGCTCCAAACATAGAGGAAGCATTCAAATATTTACATCCTGGTTCTCGTAACACATCAACATTAGAGCATATGCTTCATCAAATGGTCACTATTTTATCAGAAGAATTTTTACAATGGGAATTAACAAGTTCATTACCATGTAAAATATTACTATCTATATTAGCAAAAAGATTATTATTAGTCATAGAAACAATAAGTTCTCCAAATTGGTTGTTTCAAAGTTTATCAGATTTACTACAACCTATACCAAAAGAGGCTGCTGAAGTTCTGAATAATCAGGGAGCAGATACATTACATACCAAAGTATATTTTTAACTTTTATGAAGTTTAATTAAATTTTCATGAATTAATAATTATAAATTATTTTAGAAAATTATATCCAATGCTTTATCTGATGGAATGGCATCTGCAACAGCAGCTGTAATTCCACGACCACTTCCAAAACAAAAATCTGACTCATCTACAAAGCCTTCGAGTCGGGATAAAAATTCTGTATCTACAAATGATCAAAGACCCATCCTACACTTAGACAATTTAACTAAAGAATATAGAGGTCTTTGGGGTCAAAGTATGACAGAGCTGGATTCTGAAGTAGATGAAGATAAAATGTCCCCTGTATATGAAGAACCTACAGATTTTGCTACAACAATTGCTAGACTTAGAAATGTATTACAACAAAAATCAACTGTGAATACACCTCTGTGAGTAATAATATTTTATTTTTTTAATAGTATATCAAATATACTCGTACATTATATTTTCCAGACATGTGGAGGAAAAGTCTTACGTAGTATACGAGGGTAGTCAATTCATAAATCTGTCAATACCTTGGACAGAATTTCATACAGCTTTTGATGGTTCTCAACAATTACTTTATTGTATTCAATTCGATGACGTGGAACAACGTGAAGTAGATTTGTTCGAAACTACGACTGCTACTGTTAGAAGACAATACCGCGATTTTGCTCAGTTACATACTAGTCTACAAGAGGTGGGTTGAACCCCAATTACTTTATTATATTTCTTAATATCATACTTTATTTTATATAAAATACAATTTATAGATTCCAGAATTAGCTCCTATTATGCAAGACTTAGTATTACCAGAGGGTGGCCGCGTTGAATTAGAGAGTTACTTGAAAACATTGACAAGGCGTTTAGCTAACGAATGTCCTTCGCAATTACGACATTTTCTACGTCCAAGTAGTAGTGCAGGTAAAAAAGCAGATGCAGTTGCACCTCGATTTGATAGATTTCTAGCCAAAACTGTAACTGGTGTTTTCAATACATTGAGAACGGTTGTTCCGGGTTTTGAGATTGAACAAGAAGAGGAAACTGTGCCATTACCTACATTAATGCCTTTATCTGATATACCATGGAGATTTGTCGAAAATATCAAATCGGTAATCATATATTATATTGTATGAAATGAAAATTAAGAATTTACTCTTATCTTTTTTCGTTATTGAAACAGAAAAGTTTACTGACTGAATTACAACAATTAATAACTGAAAGAACTGAATATTCTTCTGTGGATACAGCATATGAAGCTGTTGATTCAATGGAAGGTACTGGTAATTCGGCGTTATTAAGTCACTGGTGGGAAATTGTAAAAAATTCTTATGAAGGTAAACATATAATATACTATAATATTGTAAAAATATTAAATATCAAAATATTCATGTTTTCCAACTTTTCTTTTGACAGAAGAAATGGATGAATTGGACTCTCACTTAATGTTAACATGTATCGCTGTTGATCTTATCTGTGAATTACTAACAGGAGTTGGTAGTACTAATACCTTACAACAAGAAGCAGTTGTTAGGTGGACAAAATTATTGTTTGGAAATGTCACTGAACCTATATTACAAGTAATAACTTATTTTTTATTATTACAATAATTAATATTATTTTTGTATTAAATTGTGGAATTGATATAATTTACAGACTGCTATTTTGCGGGTTTTCGATTACTTGGGTAATATGTCACTTTATCGTAATATACAAAACAAAATTTCTGAGGAACCTCTAACAGAATTAAAGGAAAAGTTGTTACAACAGCTGTTAACCAAAATCCCAAGTGATATAAAATTGATATTCGGTGAAGATGATATGTTGAATATTTTAAAATATTTACTTGATTCCTATGAAATAAAAAAGATCAATCTAGACTTAAATCTACAAATAGTAGATGTTTTAGCATCACAGTTATTGATTTCGTGTAGGTTAAATCACGACGGTGCAGCATTTTAATAATTTTATTTTGTTTTTAAGTTCATTAGACCAGCAGTTCAATTCCTTTTTTTAAATTACATTCGAATAGTATTCTAGTTATATTAAAAGTTATTAATTACTGGAATATAATTTAGTCAAGAAGGAATTGATGTGCCATATGTAATAAATTTGTTAATAATTACCAATTTAGAACTATATAAAGTTTTCAAAACAAAACTACGTACCTGATTACATATTTACAATAAGGATGCCAAATATTTTTTTCATTAAAAAAATATAACTCTTATGAGTTGAATGATGTATGTTATATGCATATTTAGGTACTATGTGCATTTAAATTATACATTTGTATTTAATGTTTAAGTTTTGTACAAATATTTATGGAAAACTATTATATTTCACACTTAATAAAAATGTACACAAAACTCTTAAAAAACTAATATATATTTATTCTTACGAATAATAACATTTAGTTTATAATTTAAGATTCCTTCCCCTGTTTTTGAGCCTTTTGCTTTTCTAATTGTGCTCTGAAATAAATAAATAATTATGATTTGTAAAATATTCTTTTCTACATACATTACTTCTTTTCTTGCTATTCTCTAAATATTAAAATCTTATTAATACACACAATAGTATGTACAAAATGTATAATTGAATTTTCTAAATACATATATAAGAATAGTTTTAATTATTCTATTGTGCATAAATTGAAGAGGAATAGTTTTTAATACCCTTCAATAAAAGATACCTTAATTGCTGATTGAAATCATCCTCTACATCATCATCATCCCAATTATCTTCCCAAACACTAATATCTTCGTTGTCCTCATCCACTGCAGTCCAATCTATCAAGTCATTCAACAGAATTGAGGTTAGGTAACCGCATGTATGTTTATTTCTACCTATTTAACATTTATACCACTAAATTCTCATACCTTCTGCAGGGAATTCTTCAAACTCATCATCCTCCTCCAATAATCCCAAATCAACTTTAGTTTTATCGTTTTTGTTATCCGTCATTGTGAATTTAATATTGACAGCTCTAAAACTAACTTGATACGATACTATATGTACCGCAGTTCATCAGAGTCCATAACTGCGACGCGCAGGTTGGAAGATGGTGGGAGAACGCAGCGAGCTCTCCGCCAATCGCTTTCCACTTCGTTTGGGAGTATCGCTAATCAGGGCGAAGATGCGCACTGGAGATGCGCGAAGAATGAAAACTGGTCTTTTCGCAGTTATGGACTCTGGTGAACTGCGGTATAGAAAGAATGGGTTCGAATTTTCTAGAGAAATTTTGGAATGAGCAAACAATATTCAATGCTACCAACCGTTAATTTTAAAATTATACGTTGCAAAATCGTTATTTAATTAGAAAATAAACTAAAATGTATTATCATTTTAGCTATTTTCTCGCTATAAAACGTAAATTTGTTAACAAGAAATAACATACTAAAGTTATATATAGATTAATATTCTATATAATTTTATTAAGAAACTTTATAGCACTATTGCGTTGTTAGAGTGCATAGTTCCTTGTTTACACAATTTATTTAAACAAATATCCATTTAAAATTAAATTACTATGTTACATTGAACGTAAATATTGTGTTTCAATGCACGTGTAATTGAAAGGTTAAATAGACAGTATAAAATAATAGTAATAGTCATGATAGTGTAGTAATACGTAGTATACGTAGTAATAGTATGTATATACTACGTGGTACTATGCTACTGTGTATGAACGTTTTATAAAGACGCTAAAGAACTTATCACTTTATTGTGTCGAACAAAAATTTCTTTATGTTCCTTTTTTCATGATGCAATACGACTGTCTATGTTGTGTCTTATCCTGGCTAGCTACGTTAACAGAAATCAAAAGTAATCAGAATCCACATCGATAACTATGTATGTATAACAGTGTGCCGTTGTTCCGTCGCACAACGACACTTCATCGTCCCCGATGGAAATAAAGTCACTAGTCATTATCTTTTTTTTAATCTCCTCGTTTATATCAGGGACGTTCCACAGAGTTTCGTAGTGATGAAGTGAATTGTAGCAATCATCCAGTCTAGAGGAAGGCAACTGTTAAAGTACGATGGGTTTAGAAGACTATAAAGAAATCGTGGCCACATGTGCCACGATTACTTCAATGGGGCAAATGTTATCCGGAACGTGAGTTACAAAAAATTTAAATGACCTTTCAATTTTGATTTATGGATTTAATAGCAATGCGATGCTCGAATTAAAAAATCGATGCCTGTAACGAAAAGATTTGATAAGACGCACTAGAGATACAACTATCTTTCCATGATGACATTTAAATTTAAATAAATATTTTTTTAAACTTATAGTAAATGATTGATTTTTTATTGCCCGCATAGTGTATTGCCGCAGAGTTATTAATGCGTTATTAGCATATAAAACTGTTAATTCTAATTTATATGATTTAGAAGTTAAATGTGCTACTGATCATTTTTATAAGTTAATATGATTGTAATATAATAAATTAAAGTTTAATTTAAAAAAATCATATCTTTGTTTAATAATTGCGTCATTTGTATTTTACATATTAAATAAACTTTATAATTGAATGTATTGTGCTATTTTTATAATTATAATAATTATATTTAATGTTTGATGTAATTAATATTGCAATTTTAAGTTTCTGATAATTGAAAAATTATTAGTTATCTGAAATAATAGTCATTTTACAATTTCAGAACAAAATGTGAAAAACACTTTACACTTATCAAATAGAGCTTTGTACTAATTTATGTAAATAAATGATAATTGTTTATTTTGTATTCACCATCATATTATATAATAGATTTATAAAATATTTAAAATCATAGTTTGCTGTTTCAAACTTTAGAGTTCTTTGAATTTATAAATTGAAGAACAATAGATTAATTTGAATTTTTAGAAATAGTAATACATAATATTAATGATTTAATTTTAGATTCATGTGCAAGGATATTTATAAGAAAGGTTCATCCAAAGGTGTTGACCCAATGCCTTTTCTGGGTGGTATAGGAATGTGAGTGGTACTTTCTAATATTTAACATAAACAGCTTTTAAGAAATTTCATTAATTATATAATTTTCTTTAAGTCAAATTATTTCTGTTAAGAAAAATAAAGTTAAAAATTTGAACAAAAAATGTAAAAACATTAAAAATTAAAAAGAACAATAAAGAATAATAGGAATTACACAAATATAGATGTATAATAAATTAAGAATTTTTTATAGGTGCATTTTAATGCTTCAGTATGCATGGATTGTGAAGGATCCTGGGATGATTAATATTAATGTTTTTGGAGTACTCATAAATACACTTTATATGGCTATATATTACTATTACACATCACACACGGTACGAGTCTATATTTATAAATTAAAATGTATGATGTTGCTTTTTTATATTACTTTCTTCAAACATTTTTTGTAAACATATGCTTTATCATTTTTACATTATTTAATAAGTATAACATATTATAAACAATGTCTTGTTATACAACAAATGTAGCTATCAATTTAATATAGATAAAAACTTGGTGTGTAATTGTAATCATTCAGTTCTCAATTGGTCATATTAATTCTCAATTGGTTCTCTAAGTCATTCAACTTTGATTGATCATATTATAGAATATATTTATACCCATTTATACTGATACTGACTAACACATTTAAAAATATAGCTGCATGTGATGATGTACAACAAGACATAATTTTCATTTAATTGCGATCAATCATAGTAAAACGTTAATGTATCGATAGTTTGGCAAAATACATAAAGCCTTTACGAAGAACCGAAGTTCCTGCTGTGCGAAGAAATTTCGAAAAAGTATTTCTAAACGCACCAGTGCCTGATTAAACATTTTACCTCAAGTATTACGCATTTTTAGAAGGATACACTTGCTTTAATAGGCAAGACAGCAGCTTTTGTAATGGTCTTCCTTGTGTATGCACAAATGGAAAATCCCGAGAAGATTGAATACAGATTCGGTTTAATTGTGACGACGTTATTCTTACTCTTAATAGCGTCTCCTTTGATACATCTTGTAAGTATATTTTTTTTTATCATTACAAATGCCTTTTTTAATAAAATTTTCATAAAATTGCCAAGGATAGTATACTATATAACTTCAATTTTATTAATACTGATATTATTAACTGTAACTCATTTTGAATTATTTCCAATTTATCAAATAATATTAATAATACAATTAAGAACTGTAATAGATATTTTAGAAAATTTTAGAAACTAACAAGAAATAAATGCATATCTAGAACGTTATAATCAGTGAGAAACCGTGCGGAAAATGTATAATTATGCAACACAAAACAACAACAACGTAATAGAAATCTTGAAACATTATCATTCAGTTTAATTGATATCAGTGAAATTTTTAATTTCTTCATTCACCATTACAATAATACTATTTGTAAAAAATGTTTAAGTTCATCCGACGGATCTAATGTTTTTAAGTTTTTTTGATAAAAATCCCGAATATCTGAGAGATAAGTCATTTTACGCTTCGATGATTATTACGTCATTTTCTCAAGATATCCTTTTATATTCCATTGAGCGTTACGCTGTCTTAACTACTGAATTCCATTTCAAACTCTTGGTAATTTCAGCGACGCTTGCGAAATTTTTGTTCTTGATTTAACGTTTGAATATACAGGGTGTCCGCTGCAACTGGGTTATAATAACTCAAAAATGATATAAGACAAAAAAAAATGTCATTAGAAAAAATTAAATGATATCGATTGGAGCGTCACTTGACGCATGTATTCGCTCCGAAAGTGGAGGTGTTCCAAAGATTTCAAAGTCAATTTTGGATTTTTAAATGGGGCTATATACTTTTCTACACATCAATTAAAGCGTATTTTTAATCTCTACAAAAAAGTATTAAGGTTTAAGGAATTAGTTCAAAAGGTATTTTAAGGAGAGACCACTAGGATCTCCCTGTCTCTCCCTAAGATATCTTTTAAACTAATAAATTTTCTTCTCAAGTACTTTAATATTTATTTATAGAGAATAAAAAGACGCTTCAATTGATGTCTAAGGAAGTATACAGCTACAGTAAAATAGTTTCAGATGAAATTGCTTATTTTGATAGGACACCCCGTAGCGTATGTTACATAAGCTATTAAACATAATTTTTTTAAATATAAAAGAATATATAAAATTACAAGAACTATTAGTTATATAGAAAATACCATCACAAGTATTAGAAATCAATTTTATCTTGCTATTCTAAAGATATATCTTTTTTTTTAATTTATCACGTTTATCAGACTCTTCAGATGTGATTATTATATATTATATGATTCATATTCGTTTTTCTTTACTTTTTAGGGAGAAGTTATAAGGACGCAAAATACGGATGTTCTTCCTTTTCCGCTCATTTTTATGGGTACCCTTGCCTCGTTTCAGTGGCTGTTATATGGTCTTATAATTAATAACGTTTTTATCATCGTAAGTAGATCACTTAATTTGATTATCAAATCAAGAGAAAAAAAAATTGTTATCAATCACTAATATTTCACTATATTTCAATAGTTCCAGAATACGATAGGTTTTCTGCTTTCTGTGGTGCAGATGTCTTTATTCGTAATATTCCCGTCGAAATCGAAAGCCAAAGCAACCGGACAAGAGAAGACGGATTAAAATGAACAATCATGAATAGTACAAATGTATAAACTACATATTATACGCTTTAAGTACCTCAGTTTAATATAAAACGTTCCTACACGTACTTAGAAACCAGTGATTACAACTTATAAGAAAGATGTAAGTTCTGAATAATTTGTATTATTAACCATAAAAGAGAAATATTATAACTTTATTTTAGCTAGACAATTTTTCGAATAAATAAGTTTATTTCTAATTGAACATAGAATGTTTTCTTTTCAACCTAAGCGATCTTTGCATTAAATATCCAGTTAATGCTTGTTTTGGACAGAATAATTGCGTCTCTGTAAAACAATTAAAATTTCAAAAATCAATGTCAATGAATCAAATAAAATATCTTGTGAAGAACAGTTAGAGTTATTATTTATTTAAAATCAATAATATATAATGTAATATATAATTTAAATAATAGATGGATTCAACAGTTTATTTAAGTTACAAGAATTATATTTAAAATCCTTCCCCTTTAGAGTTTAAAAGTTAGCTAAAGGTCATCATTTGCATATCAATAGCACAATGTAGCACAATGTAAAAAGGGGAGATCTCCCCTTTTATTCAAGTGTACTTTATAAAATGAGGAGATCTCTTCAATTGGTTAACAGTCCTTTAAACAATACTAAATCTGGTAAGTAATAATCCACATTCATTAAGTCCATTACTTTTTAATGGATCAATTGCAATTCAGGGTCTATAAAGTACACCACGGTATATGAACTAAAGAGTTAATGATTCAAAGTTTTGAACTAAAGTGAACTTTATTTGTTGCAATTTAATATTTAAAATGTAAAAAAACGAGAATAAAACAAAATTTATGTTATTATTTTATCAGTCTACAAGAGGGTTAATTTGGATAATATAGATTCTAATAATTCCCCTTTTCCGATTACTCCAGAAACCTTTTATCACCAACACAAAGGCCCAAAGGCCGCTCCTATTAATCCCTAACGCGTAAAGACCACCGCCGTCAATCTTTACCGCTATCTTTATTGCTTCTCTTCTCTTCTCTTCACGTGACGACTGTTCGAAGCCTGCCAAACGGCAGAGAAGAAGACGGACAAGTGGTGTCTCCCCTCGGTAAAATTCATTATGTAAATTCAATTGTACGTCTAATAATAAGCCAGCGGAATACTTCTCAATGAGTGACACGATCGTACGGGGCTATTAAGAATAACCAAAGGTGATTACCATTTTACTTTCTATGGAAGCAACGTTACGTTGCATGCAAATGGCAACTGGCTGGGCTCCGCGGGATTTACGTCCACGATGGCTCGTTAGTAGTCGTTCTTGGTATCGGCTTATTATATGAGCTACGTACATCATCGCTTGACTTTCTGATCGAGTTTGCTGGTTAATAGCAGGAAACTGTGACCTTCTATGTAGACAGCGAACGTCTGGTATATCGTGGTCAGTGAGGTGTCCGATTGTCTCGACGGACACCAATGTATTTTTCTGATGATTTTTCATCGATGATCCATCATCTTTGTTAATTTCTTTGCAAGATTTTCAAGATACTGTAATTCGTTTTTGACGGCGAGATAGGGGCAGAATATGCTTATTGTTTTTAATTGAATGATTCAATGGTGTTGGTGAATGCGTACTTTTCAAATGACTTATATTGCAATCGATGTTTCGGATCGATGTAATTCTCTGCAGCTGCCACGATATTCTAGCGAACGAAGGATAATCTGCAATAAGGTGGGATGAGGTGAGTGTACTTCCTTTAATTTTCCTTAATGAAACGGCGCACTCAATGGCTAATGTTTTGTGTGTATTAGCTTCAGTTCTTGTACTTTAATGTATCCAAGAAATAAAGCAACATTTTAACATGGACTTTATTCACTTTTGTTGTTATTATTATTAATAATGTGAAGAAAAATTTGTGGGGTCCCTTTGTGAAGGATTCTTCGGTAATTATTGTTCTTATGGTCTCTCTATTTACTTTCAATTCATTAGTTATCATTCTAAGTGTTAAAGAATCAATTTTAAGTAAATTAGCCACCTTTTTTATTAACTCCAAGTTTGGGATTGTTTCTGACTATCTACTTCAGTCATCTTCAACATCGTCTTCATCATTTTAAAAATTCTTAAATTAACAAAGCTTTTTCATAAGGTGTTCACAAGTTTCACGTAAAATCTTATGTTATAATATCAAAAAATGTATTCAAGAAATGGATCGGAAAAGTCGCGTGTATGTTGCGCATCAATGAGATGCGTGTCCGCGCACGGTTTCTTTCGTGATTGATTCCGAGTATGCGCTCCAGCTGTCTGTTTGTATATTCACACATAGAAAAGTAGCTTACTTAATGTGAACATGCTTCTGTCATGTGGAAGTAGATTTGTGGTAACACCTGCTGCATCCCCCGAACCGCCCGTGCTCGAATTTACGTCACGTGGATCAGTTGACAGTTCGTATGATATCGAATATTGTGAGAAGACCAGAGTTCAAAAACCGTGAGAATATATTTGATTTATTTCATAATCTGTAATGTATATTTCAATATAATTATTGCTCTGTTAAGTACTTAAATCCACAAACCGGACTAAGGGTAAAAATGAATTAACATATTAAGGGGGTATATCTACTCAGGAACACCAAAAGATTATAACATAATTATAATCATTATCAATTATATATATTAATTTAGTCTTCAAACTGCATAAAAGGAATTTTCAATTATGGATTAAAATTAGGATGATTTTGAAAAGAAGAAATTTGATTTCAATTTTGAAGTTTTAATCGTTTTCACACATCACATACGTTTGTCCGATTACTTCGTTAAATATAAATGCTCATTTCTATTGGATTACACGGAACATTATATTTGGTATTGATTAAAATTATTTCATATCTCTGATTGACGTACATGTCAATACTAATGCGATTTTGTGATTACGTTTGTTTAATATTTAGAGGATATCGATTGATAAGAGATAGATTAAATCTCAATTAAAAAGCTATTAAGTAAAATTAAATAAGATATTGCCAAAATTAACACAACGAATCATTTATTTATTGTTACTTTGTAGCACTTATTTTAACAATAATAATAATAATAATAAAAATAATAATGGTAATACTCTTCCTTCTCTTAAAAATTAATCAACATTAACATAATAAAATAAAACACCACTATAAAACCTAATCAATATCAATCAATTGGTATTGGAAATAGATTAGTATCGGCTTTCATTTCGAAAGCTTCCTTCATCAGTCCCTACTCAAACAGAATAATTTTTCAGCTGTTCTTTTTCGAAGTTAAATTATAGAAAGGATAGAAAACTAGAACGTTTCCCTTTGCGTCTACATGGCAGAAAGCTCATCCAGAAACGGCAGCCCCTCTCCCAGTAGACTTAATATCAATTTAGAGCACAATACAGGGAGTATTTCGATGCCGTGTAATTTCCTTGAACGTTCGTTAAGTATACCAGGACAATTATAACTGTATCCAATAAAGACAAGGCCGCACGAGTACGATGCTTGCAATACGCGTGTCCTTAAGGAGCTTATTAGCTAACAGGGTATGCTAAACGGCGAGCTTTGATAAAAAGGAAAAGGGCGAGGGAAGAAAGACAATGAAAGCAATCGTACGACATCTATGATGTAATTAATTGTTCAGAAACAGGGAACGAGTTTAACGATATCGTACGTCTTTCCTATTGCTTCTGGTTATAAAGTTCATTTTCAAGAATGAAAATTTATTTATTTCTTTTTAACCCTTTGAACTCGTATGTCATGTTGGAGATGACATTATACTTTATCTCCAAATAAGATATTATTTGACTTAATATTTGACTTAAAATAAGTACAAGTTAGCGTGTAATAACATTGAAAATAAATCGAGTTCAAAGGGTTAATATTGAAAAATGAGATAACTCATGAGGTTTGAATGAAAAGGAATACACTGTTGAAACGATTTTGAGGAGAATCAAATCACGACGCAACAGGTAAGTACATCAGTAGCTTTTTAGTAAATATTTCATTGAAGAATTAATGACGCACCGTATGCGTCATATACTAGAGTAGGACTCAATCAATATTTAATATTTATCTTAATGTTTATTTCGAAAGCAACAAATTATTATAAAACTATGTAAATTTATGTCAACCTCAATGTTGAAAACTAATTATTTTTGTAGCAAATCTAAAAAGCTACCAAAGCTTTTAATTCTCTCAATAACTACTGACTGGAAAATCACAAATTCCCTCATAACAAAAGAATACACCTTAATTAAAAAGTATTTGTCTGCTTATTCTTTTTAATAAATCTAGGTCACAATCTCTTACTAGAAAGTTAGACACTGTACAGCGGTGACAGATGCTACAAGATTGTTTCAAACTCGTATGACAAAAGTTTTTTCCTTCTTTGACGTCTTCTAGCATTATATTATGAAATTTCTTCACAATTTGTATTGTTAACCGTATGACCCTAGACTAATTATGTACCTTTTCATTAAATGGAATAGAAAAAAAAAATGCTCGTTACTAATTCTATACTTAGTTCAATATTATTAATCGAGATGAAAAATTTTTAATTTATAAATTTATAAATTCCTTATGGGTGGTGAATTTAAAAACACCTTTTCAATTTAGATCATTCGTTTGAACTGCAAATATCATCTTAATCCATTTCATCATCATTAAACTTAATCAAACGGTAAATTTTTAATTACACGAGATTCGATACTTTGAAATTATGAAACTCTTTCAAGCGTCAAATTTATAAAGATGACTAATTCCATTAACAGTTTCTTATTTCCTTCCGCAATTCGAGTCAATTACGTCCTACAAATTCACTCAGATACGAGTCAAAGCTTTTCTATTATACGACGTTGAGTATACTTCTTTCATCGTTATTATCATTGACGTAGTTTAGATTTTCTTCTGGATTGGGCCAGGTACCCTAGAAATTTTTAAATTAAAAAATTTTAGGATCTTGGAAATCTGGGATTTTGGAGTTCTGAAATTTTTAAATTCTAAAATTCTGATATTTTGAAATTTTAGTAACAACAAATGTCTTATCAGATCCTCGATCGCCAATACCAATTATATCCTATGAAATAAATTATAAATAAATTGACCAAAACTAGATCGAAAAATATACTTTTACAATATTTCATCCTCTCTAAAGCAAAGCTTCTGGATCCACTCTTGATCAGATTTCTGATCCTACCGCGCGGCACCTACATTAGCGCGGTCTCTTATTTTCCACCCCATTTCGGATCAATTTCGCTATATGAATTCCTTCAAACGCAGTGATACACCATCTTTTTATCACACCATTGAGAATACACTTTTTCTCTGGTCAATTTTGATATATCAAAAGAATTTCTCGGAGATGATGCGCAATACTTTTCTTTTTTTTCTAATTTATGTTACTAATTAAAATTGGTATATTCAAATTCCAGCTATCAAAATCATCTTTTTTCAGTAAAAGAACAAGTGTGCAGTTTGATACCTGTGAAATTGAGACTCAAATTTACAAAACAAATACAAGGATATTATTTCCCAACCCAAAGTGAGTAACTTCACTTTTTGAACCTGTTAAAATTTTAGTGCCATGGCACTAAATTGATGCTTAATTTTATACATTTTATCAATTCATTTACTTTCTTCTTTGGTATTAATCGATTTGGTAAATGGGTGGCTCGTATGTTGGATGAATAATTTTTAAAGCAACAGTGTGGGACGTATGCAAATGCTTATAAGTATAAAGTATAAGTAAAAGCAACAAATGTAGTAAATGCTTAATCATTTATGCATGCGAAATCGAGTATTTACTTAAAAAATTTGTAGTAAAAGCTTGTACTTACTTTTATGCATATGACCCAATGTAAAATTTAAAAAATGAAAATAAAATGAAATACAAAATGAAATTAAAATTGGGGCTCTCTCTCCATGGTCCGCCGTCCGAGGGTTAATCAATGCATTCATACTTTACTACAATAAATACTTTAGCAAAATAAATAATTTAACTATGAAAAATGACTGTTTTACGATAAAATAACGAAGCGTACTCTTTCTTGTCGATTCTTGAAGTGCCAAAAGAACAATCCACAGAAACGGGATGATAATTCGGAAAAATGCCGGACGTCGGTGACTACTGATGTCGCTACGGATGATTTGACGGGTCAGCAAGTCGCGGAAGGAAGGGATGGATGACGGCAGGGCACGGGGGATGCGAAGGATAAAACAGAAAAAGAGGGAGAGATCCTGGTCGGTCGACTATTCCGTAGACGGCACACTGTCCCGCAGGACACGTGATTCGACGCTTTTGCGAAATGTGTAACTCGGTGCTGTAACACTCCGCAACTTCGCCCCCGTTTCTTTCTTTCCTTTTTTTTTTTCTTATTTTTTTATTTCCGTCCACCCTGAGGCAACCACCAGAGGTTTTCCTCGTGTTCCCGAGGATTCCCTTTCGTGCGCGCGGACACCGGCGCGCCTTTCCGGTCGCAACTTCCAGAACGAGTGACGCAAGTGAAGTGACACCGTCGATATAACATTTGGACGGATTCCGTCTACCAAAGATTCATCGTTAATCGGTAATTATTTCATTAATTCGAGTTGTGATTGAAATTGCCGACGATACGACGTAAGTGACGTGTGATTTGACTCACGACGAAACCCTCCTGTGTCCATTTATACCATTTTGATTCTTTCGAAGAGTGTGGAGTATTTATAACGAAACGCTGGTCAAAATTGTTTTATTGTATTCGATTGAACGAATTATACTCAGAAGTGATATTATATGATTATTTAACACGTTGAATGCTGTGGGGGTGATCAGTGATTGGCACTGTAAATTAAAAAAAAAAAAAGAAAAAAAATGATAGGATTGAGCTAATGATGTAAGGTGGCAAATTGAAAGTTTGAAAATTACTTATTTTTGATAATTAAAGTTTCAATATATTATTTTATAGCAAATGTCCATTTCTACTAGGGCGATCAACGTGTTAAATTTTAGTACCTTTTCTGTGCAAACATAATAGTAAATGTTATGTTAATCACTGGATTATGGAAATATTTAGATATCATATTATAATATCCAGTCTTTATCGAGTTGGAGTTTTGGAAAATTAATTTACAACAAAATGACGATAAAAAAATTGCCAGTGAAAAAATAGTGTTTTTCGTCTATGAAACAAAATCTAGGCAAAAAAGGCGCGAATATACGCGTCTTTTTTTATAATTACAATTTGAAAATTAGTAATTCCTTAAAAATAATCCTATTTGTCACTTATTGTTATTTATTCAAATTGTTGTTTGAATGTTTAATAATTCATATTGTGTATCGTGGTAATTGTACCAATCATCAAACAATTATTTTATATTTTACTTATCTTATGAAATAGTGAATAGAAAGATAAGTAAATTAAAAATCAATGTTTGAATAGCGTTAATATCATATTAAATTAATAATGCAAGTTACCAATCTAGAAGCATAAATTTTAATATGCCTTATTGAAAATATTAATTTTTACCGTGGCAATTAACGTATTAAAGGAACTTTAGCAACAGGTTTTAATTCGAAAATGGAGCGCTGCTTCAAAAGTTTTGAAACATTATTTCGATATTATTCCCTCGAAATACCCAGAGACGCATCTTCGGAGTAGATTTCATGACATGTAGTTGAAAAAAACAAGTATTCAAGACATGCATGCGTTATTAAACGATATGTAAAAACGTAAATACAACGAAATGCTGTTGTTTTAGCAAGAAAAGAAGAGCATCGCAGAATTGTATATTGGTCATTAAAATACTTTCAATTTTACTTGAATGATGGAATATTATTTTGCTATTAATAACACAGGGATTTCTTTGGACGTAACAATACTTGTTTTCATATTCTTCAACCCTTGAATGTCTTTTTTACGTCATATAAAACATTCTTATTACGTTTATTGTTTGCAATGATCAGTACTAAATATTTTGTTTTTAAATTTATAATATTAAATATTATTTGTTTTTGTATTACACTAACTTATAGTTAAATCTAAATTATAGTTTGATTTTATATTATATAGAAAAAAATATTTCCAGAGAAGGATATTCAATGTTCAGATACTACAATTGTTATCAACTTTATACTGACTAAGTTTCCTGCAGTTACTCTTTTCTTTTTTTTTTCAAAAAGAAGAATTTCTGTTTTTCTTTTTCACCACTAACCTTAATGGGATAAGGAAAAATTTTTTTCCAAAAATAAACAGCTCGACAACTAAAATGAGATTTCGTTTTTCGCTGGTACATCTTATTGTTAGAATACATTATATTTCCGCTCTACATTAGTAAAATATTTGATTCATTGCAATATTGATTAAAAACTTTTATTATTAAATTTTAAGTAGCAATTATTACTAATGATCTTTAAAAAGTTTAATTATTTATTGAAGCTTGCAATTAGTAAATTTTCAACTTCCTCTTAATTAAACATTCTAATACAATGTTGTATATCTGATGATGAACATTATCACAAAACATTAGAACTATCAAATGGTTCAACATCACAGATTTCAAGATTCTTATATTAATTCATAAAAAATTTATTAAATTGTTGTTGTTGAAATATACGTTCACTTTTGTTGAAAGAAAGAATTATTATGTTTGCGGGTTTATGTTTCATTCTCTATCTATTTATTTTTCTATTTCATTTTCGATGTGGAATTTAGCGGAATTGAACGCAGGTCTCGCTATTTTTCTCAATAATCTTAAGTAATAACAAAATATAACATCTATGTTGACTCTTCAAATCACATTAGAACTTTTTAAAATGTATAAAAGTTTTCAAAGTCTTTGAATAATCTTGAAATCTTTCTCATAGAGAAGTTCTCGTCTGATCGTAACCCGAGGTTCACAACAGTGCTCGTTAGAGCAAAATCATTAATCGGGAGGGTAGGTGTTTATTTCAGGATATTTTTCTAGTGACTCTGCGGTCCTCCGCTAGTCGATCATATAAATAGAAGTTGCAGATGCGGCTGCGAGATATGTGTGCTTTCGAATGCACCGATCGTTAGAAATTAATCGCGAAAGGGAGAGGGAGTATCGTTGGTATTATGAAATTCGAGTGATACCCTACGACAATGCTGTAATTACTTCCGTGAGTGTCAATCATATTTTCTTTACTAATTAACACGTTCGATACCATGGGGGAGGCATTGGTGACCAGGATCACAAATTTAATATAACCGAATAATTAAAAGAAAAAGAAAAAATATAATACTGCCACTTCAGAAATTACATATATGTATAGTTAATTTGGATTAAATTTTAACACATAACAATCAAATTATTTGTATACTTAAATACGAGTCTCCAAATGTGAGAGTGTTGCTAATTTCAACAAGAGAATTGAAATTTTACTTTTCTTCACTCGCACCACTTTTTCGGTAAAAGGGGTAACTTTCACCGTTTTCCAACTTCTAATTTAAGTGTAAATGTTAATTAATATTTCAATTTTGTTATTTTTTTTGGTTAACTTACTTCAACATAGGATAAATACATAAATAAGTTTCATAATTGTTAAATTGGTTGTTTTTATAGTATAAAAGCCTTTCTATTATTAATAGGGTACATAATACATAAGTAGTCAAGCGCCACACTCTACTTTACACTGTGCATTATACGCGAACTACTTCATACTATTATTTCGTTAATATCTCTATTTAATAAGCTTCAAGTACACTTCAGAACTAAATACACATTATTTTTAGGTTTTGTTTCCTAGAGTGGGCTAGGTTTCTTAGCTTTACTCAAAATGTCAAGTGTCAAGATTCTAAAATAATTGTTATTTGTCATTGCATGTAGAATTTTCCATTATTGTATGTTTTATTTATAGTTGCATTGCAAATTCTATTTCAATCGAAATATTTATAAGACGTTACGAGAATGAGCCGGTCTATATTTTGGAGGGTTTGGTTCACCTAAGCCTCTACCTAGATATATCAATGGGTGCATCCATGCCATTTTTTAGCCACCCTCATTATTTTACCAATTTTGCATTTTGCATAAAACCTGGCAACTTAAAGTATATTTTTGTATTGATAATTTACAAGATAATCTCAAGGGGTGACAATTTTTGGGAGTGGACAGACTCGAATTAAAGAAGGAACACATTTCCTCACATTCAGAGGAACACAAGTGCATCCTCAAGAAGCTTCAGGAAATACTCAAATACTTAAATACATTGGCATAACAAGCGGAGAGGGGCAGGTGGGTCTAGTCCCAAAAAATGTGGACTGACCCCCTTCTTAAAATTCTAAAATTTTGTAACCCTGAAACTCTAAAACTCTAAAACTCAAAACTCCCAGACAGAATCTTACAAAATGCCAAATATTAAACACCTAACACTATCAATAAGGCTGAGGAACTTAAGCCACCCCAGAAAATAATCCTAATTATGCCAATGCTTTTAAAACGACCTGATACTTGAATCCTTAAGAAGAATCGATGGAAAGTAAAAGTAATCCGACGAAATTCTCTGAAAAAAAGACCCGTTGTACAAAGACTCGTTTTTCATCCGCGAACGAATCTAGCCGCGGTACATCCCATCGGTGAAGGTGCATACGTGAGCAAAATTGTGAACGGTCTAATAATAACCGAGCTCATACTTATATGGACGCTTGATTTTAATTCAAGCAAAAACGTCGGCCAGACCTCGTCCTTTTGGTGCGCGGGGTCAGTGATCATCATCATAATCGAAAAACGCGAGGAGCATCCGAAAGCGGTCAAAATCGTCCGCGATCCAACCGTATCGCAGGGTAAAGATCGTTCCACGGGAACTCCTTGATCTTGAGTTATTTACGTCGTTTTATGGTAAAAGACGATTCGACCACGCCAACGGAGACATCACGAGACGGAATGAAATCGCGACTATTATCACGTACGCGCTTCTTCGGCAATGGATTCGGAAAAATTCGCCATTGAATACGTGTATCAAGATCATATTATAGCTCAACTCATATCTAACATTAACGTTCCTTAAAAACTTTGAAATATCAAAATTAGAGCTCTGTAATTTTGAAGTTTTGGAAAAATTAAAAAATTTTGAAATTCTGAAAGTTTGATCATTTTCCTTCAAAATCATTATAATTGGTTGAGAGAGTCTTGAGAGAATCCAGAGAAAATCGAGGGAGAAACAAGGTGAGATAAGAAGACAAGGGGAATGACACTTGTTCTTTTACATTTGCTTTTAACTAGGGGTGGGTAGTAATTTTGAAATTTTAGAAATTCGAAATTTCATAAGATTTCGAAATTCGAAGCTCTCGATATTTGAAGTGATGATTTTGTTTTGTAACAAGAAACTATGATTCTCGTTTTTTTTGTTAGATAACTCTTTACCTAAACAGAAAATTTAAGAAAAATCACAAAATGTTTGCTTATTTTTGGGTTAACGATTGAATATTCCACTTCTAGGGTGCCCTGATTAAACGTTGAGCTACTGATCAGCTGATCACTGATGTCGTGACCACTGATACCTATACTTATGCAATTTTTCGATTAGTACTATTTTAAAAAATGAAAATATTTTGTTTTTCTTCCATTTTTATTCGCAGTTTTATATACGAATGGTGTTAACTAATTAAGTTTGATCAGTCAATGACAAAAATTAATTAGTTCTTCAAAGGATTCAAAACAAAATTAATGTTGTTAAGGATACAGCTATTTAATTTTATTGTTTATTTATATGTTTAATTGAATTGAATCATTAATACCGATCATCACTGACATATATTTCTGAAACAAAATTTTCTAAAAACTTAAACTTCTTTGTTTCGATGCACCTTCTTTGTGGATCACCGCTTCTTTGTGCACACAATGGAGCACCTATTTTGAGAGGATCAAGTCGAAACATTTGAAATTTAAAACATTTCAGAAAATAAATCAAACGTGCCGTGCTCATATCTGACCAGCATTTCATTCTAATTCCACGTTGAATGGTTATACAGATGTAAAGTGGTGAAATATTACAAACTTTGTGTAATAAATCTTGTAAGCTCCGTTTGCAAAGAATTCTTGCTCTTCGAATGAACAAATATTCAAACGGAATTTTTTACTGTCGTAAAGACTAATTCATATTGCTAATTGATATACTTAATAAGCTTTTGAACTATATTTGATAATTTCATGTTGCTTGACTTGATTAATAAAATTTCTAATTTTTTAGTATATATATTACTTAATAATTTGAACTTGAGTGTAAGTAATTTATTTTAAAAAAAATTACCACTGTTCTTAATGTTGTTTCCAGCTCTTTATTATAATAATGAGGAGGGTGACAATATTAAACAAATTAATTACACTTAAGCTCAAAGCATTGGTAATAAATAAATTAAAAATTTGTTGCATTTCAGTTCGATTTATACATGAAACCTCTAATTCAGGTAAATGCAATTCATAAAATCTTTTCTTGGATCGAATATGGTATCCTACAATGTTTTCACAACATACGTATAAATAAAATTAAACATATATCAATCTAAAATATTTCAGTCCGATGGTCTAACTGGTTTTCAAGGAAGTTACTTTTATTTATTATTATTATAAAGTGATTTATGTAATCAAAGCAAAACAATTATATGATAATTTAAAATAACTCAAGGTTACGTTGCTTGTGCTTTAGATTTTGACATATTTCCCAAAATAGTATCGGTTTAAATTGTAATTTCATTGGAATAATCTAAATAAGATCAATTAAAAGAATACACTGGACTAAATTACAACTAAATTTATGATTTCAAAACGTTATTAAAATTTAATAAATAATTTGATAGATGAAGATCCCAAATTGAATACGTTAACTGCCATGTCGATAATGTTATATTAATATTAATATTATTAATATATAACGAATCAGAGGAAATTATTCCTTGAATAAATTTCTACTTGTAAATTATTCAAATAAAATATTATATTCACAGTGCCGGGTTAAGGGGAGATCTAAGGGTGGATAAACCCTTGGGCTCCCTTTCCGAGAAGCTCCGCTATGAATCTTCCATTTACTATGTCAACACAAATGGAATGAAATCTTTTTTACAGTTGCTCTGTGTTTGTATCATTATACATTGTTTAATTTTACTTAAAATAAATTTCAATTTTTAATCCTACGGGGCTCTCAAAGGTTTGATAGCCTGGAGTCCTAGAAATCATAATCCGGTCCTGTTTGTTAGTTATATCTAATATCTATTTATCCTTGTCGCATAGTATTACATGGATCATTATACTTTCTGTTTTAATAGGAAACGAGTGAAAATTAGCAAAGATGTACGGCCTAATTTTAGAAAACTTGTCTGAATATATACGACAGGTATACGGAGAAGACAGATGGGAAGAGATCCGACGACAAGCAGCCGTAGATCAACCTAGTTTCAGTGTTCATCAGGTTTACCCTGAAAACCTTATACCAAGATTAGCGAAGAAGGCTATTCAGGTAAGAATAACATAAAATTCTTTTCAATTTTATACGTATCACGTATCCTCTTCAAGAACATTCAAATTAAAAAGAAATTACAATTTTTTTTTATTTCACTACCTTTATGATCTTGATCTTTTTAACTCTTTTTTATGCAAAAATAAACTGCAAATTGTTAATGTATCAGATTTACTGTTTTAAATTATAAATTACGAAAAAAAAAGATAGAAAATGTATTTTGAAAAATATAAAGGGAAGTCGTACTTTTATTTAAATCCATAATATCTGTTTGGAGATTTAATATTGATTCTTTAATTAATTAGTTCAATTCACTTTCTCCAATCTTATAAACACAATGTGGTTAATTTGAAAAGAAAAAACTGTAAATTGTACAAATCATAAAGTAAAATAAGAAAAACGAATAAAAAACGTCTAAAAAATATAGAAAATAAAAATTGTCTATGTTTAAATGAAAAAGAAAATGTACAGGGTGAATCACACTACTGTTTCAGATGATAACTCCGTTATTAACGCATTCATGACAAAAATGCCAAAGGAGAAAGATAATTTAAAAAAATGATGCAATTGATAATTTCACGTGCATTGTTTGTACTTTAAAAAATCTAAGGGCCTAATGTAGTGCTCTTCGAACCATTTATCTTTCTCCTTCGGCATTTTTTCATGAATGCGTTAATAACCGAGTTATCATCTGAAACAGTAGCGTGGCTCACCCTGTATATTATACAATAATATGGTTTCACAGAATTTCAAGAAACGTGGAAATTATAAGTTGTACTCAAACACAAATAAATAAATCAATGAATGTTAATTTTAAATCTTATAACAATAAATGTGTAATACCAGAAAAACAGAAGTGTTGAAATTTTAATAATAGACAAACCCCTATTTATTAAACTATGATTTATTAACATGGTTTTTTGGTAAATTAAATTATAATTCGTATTTAGAAAATTATCCATTTGGTTCTTCTACTCTTCTGATAAAAATCTATTGCAAGAAGAGATAAGAGAACAGTTTGTGTTGATGCGTTACATTTAAACATGGTTGCTTAATTACAATGGTATGTATATATTTTTCGCTCATATCACAGGTACTTGGCATTACGGAAAAAGAATTTTTCGATCAGATGGGTGTACACTTCGTAGGATTCGTTGGACAGTACGGTTATGATCGTGTTCTTTCAGTACTTGGACGTCACGTAAGAGATTTCCTTAATGGATTGGACAATTTACACGAATATCTGAAATTCTCCTACCCTAGGATGAGAGCTCCTTCCTTTATTTGTGAAAACGAGACGCGACAGGGTAAGAAATTATTCAAATAACTATCATTTCATTTGAATAGGTACATTGAACGTCGATAAAACCCATTGACGGATTAAGGGGAGGTCTAAGGGGGGTTATAACCCTGGGTCCCTTCCATTTACTATGGCAAAAAATATTAAATGATATTCTTATTACCATTGCCCTTTTTCTTTACGATAATTTTATTTAGAATAAATTTCAATTTCCGAACCAAGTTTATTATATAATAAGGGGATCCTAGAAGGTTTGATAGTCCCCGACCCCAGAAATCTTAATCCGGCTCTGCCAAAACCATACATAAATAATAATTAATCAAATGATTAAAGGAATTTTTAAGAAATTCTAGTATTAATATTGTATTAATTTTACAAAATATCAATTTGAAAATTTCAATTAGAAATATATTATTCTGAATAATTAAAATTGTAGTGTATATCACACTCGGTTTCCGAAAAATTCCAAATTCTAGAGAAAAAAGTATTTCTGTTGCTTTATAAGGGATCCTATTTCTTCTCCGCTTAATCAATCCGAATTTACATTCATTTTTTCGTATTGTAGGGTTGACTCTCCATTACAGGAGCAAACGACGCGGCTTCGTTTATTACACGATGGGTCAAATAAGAGAGGTGGCTCGTCATTTTTATCACAAGGAATTACAGATTGAGCTGGTGCGAGAAGAAGTCCTTTTCGACACTGTGCACGTCACGTTTCAGCTCACCTTTGATAACAGGGCTTTTACCCAAGCATCGTTGACGATGACGCGCGAAGAAAAGCACCTACCGATTGGAGCTTCCGTTTTGTTTGAGATATTTCCTTTTTGCATAGTTTTCGGGTAAATATACTTTATTTATATTATATTTTATCTCCTCTTTTCTAATACCATATTTTTTAATTCTACATTTTATATTTTATAAAAAATGCAAACCTGAACGCAATAATAATTTATTTATAATAATACTACGTGTATCATACCATAGTTTCTTTATTTTTTATTACTTCTTAAATACAAACTGTAATATGTAATTTTATTTTTAAACTCTAAGGCATTTTTCTTACATTATTAAAAATTAAAGAAATTACTCTTCTGTTATCGAAGATTCAAATTATTCTGATAATTTTGACCTATAGAATATAATCGAATTTTTATTTGCAGGTCAGACATGATCGTAAGGAGTATCGGAAATTCCTTGATGGTGATACTGCCCGATCTTGTTGGTAAAAAGATAACGCATTTTTTCGACCTCGTCAGACCCTTAATTGCATTTAAATTTCATTCGGTAAAAATACCTACTGAATTTTTTATTTTCATCAAAATATGATGTCTTGTATTCTGTTCTGAAATAACATTCTTCCTTTTTGTTGTTACAGATTTTAAATAGAACGAATAATATTTTTGAATTGGTAACGGTGGAACCGATTCTAACAGAACGACCATCCGATCGGCGAGGAAATGAAATTTTATTAAGTGACGAACTCGATTCGATCGATGACAGAACATTACGATTAAAAGGTAGTTTTCATCCAATTTTTCATTATTATGAATATTCTCAAATTGGAAATAAACTCAAAAAATAAATTTGTAATAATGAGTATATATTTCAGGTCAAATGATATATATGGATAACTGGAAGATGATGATGTACCTTGGTACTCCTGTCATGCCGGATTTGAATGCATTGATAGCAACCGGTCTTTATATAAATGATTTATCAATGCATGATTTTAGCAGGTATAAGTATAGCCCTCTATATTTTCCAATTTATCAAAACTAAGAACATTTTCACCAAACATGATACTATAAAAGTAGCAAAATTTTACTAAAATTATACAAACTATAAATAGTAATATTAATTAAATTAAAATCTCATTTTTATAACTTTAGTTCAATACATTTAATTTTTATAAGAGATACAACTAATGTGATGCAAGTGGAGTTTCACTATTTATACATATTTTTTATCTCTGTTCCAGAGATTTGATGCTTGCTGGAACGCAGCAATCAGTGGAACTAAAGTTAGCTTTAGATCAAGAGCAATTGAAGAGTAAAAAGTTAGAAGAGTCTATGAGAAAGCTCGATGAAGAAATGAAACGTACTGACGAACTATTATATCAAATGATACCCAAACAAGTAGCGGATCGTTTGAGAAATGGAGAAAGTCCCATAGACACCTGCGAGGTGAGAAAACCCCTATTTGTTTTTATAAATATATGTAACTGAAAGCTCAATACGTACATGTAGAGTACCGAGCATAGTAGACTTTTCCGGATTTCCGGGTACTAGGGTTTCTCGCCCTTGCCACAGGCCTCCCCCTGTCACGGCTTCCTGGCCCTTACTATAAGCCTCCCTCTTCTCTGCGCTACCACTTCTCCACGGAGATGCTCCCACGGAAAGTGGCGCTGTAGTGGTGAAGGCGCTATGTATATAGGTCTATGCTCCCCCCCCACTTTCGTATAAATGTTTACGCGGGAGACTTTGAGTTGATGTTTATGCTATTATTCATATATCTTAAGTATATAGTAAATCTTATAATATTTAATAATTATAAATTATCCTATTTTTTTTCCCTAAATCTCTTTTATTATTAATATTGTCAAAATTAAGGTTTTATGAATTTCTGTTTACTGTGCTCGATACTATATAAGATTAATCTTTTCGTATTATTTTTAGATGTTTGACAGCGTATCAATTTTATTCTCGGACGTAGTCACATTCACAGAGATTTGCAGTCGAATTACACCGATGGAGGTGGTGTCTATGTTGAACGCGATGTACTCCCTTTTCGACACATTAACCGAAAGGAACCGGGTGTATAAGGTATTCTTAGGTAGTAAGAGTTAGCATTTATTTGTCCTCACATCATTCTCTTGCTTTCTTTAAAAAACAACATACAGTTCTTTTTTTCTCCCTTTCTCTTAATAAAAGATATTAGGTGTATAAATTGTGCTCATGTTTAAATTGTGTTGACAATACTGCCCTCCTTAGTTCAAATCTCCTATCTATACTATTTCTTTATTCTCTCAAGAGTTCACTTTTAATTTGTCAGGGTACGTTTTAGCGTGATTCAAGAATTTTTTCATGTAGAAAAACGAATATATTATATTTCCTTGAATTTTTATACCAGAACATTTACTTTATTTTTTGTTTAGGTTGAAACAATCGGGGATGCTTATATGGTAGTATCTGGTGCTCCGGTGAAAGAAAATGATCATGCGGATCGTGTCTGTGATATGGCACTCGATATGGTTGACGCGATAACTAATCTTAAAGATCGCTCTACAGGTAAGAATATAAGGAAACGTACAATCTTAACCATTTCATTACTAAAGGTGATTGTAATGTCATCAACTGCAAAGCACTTTTTAATATAAAGTTGACTATAACTATAACTGACAAAATTTTAAGTTTGCAAACATAAGATTTTAAATTAATATTTTGCATTATTAGTATAATATTAACACCTATACCTGTCATTGTACTGAAATTGTGGAATTTAAAAATTTGGAAAATCTAAAATTTTAGATTTATGGGATTTCAGAATCTTAAAATTTTAGAATGATAAGAGGACTTATCTATATTTATGGGAAGAGATCAGTTTACATTTTTGAGGGGCTAAGCCCACCCGAGCCCCTACACATTAGTATACCGTCATGACATTTATGTACAGGGTTCGCTCCAAACAAATTATTTCTTTTCAGGTCTTCATCTTCAAATAAGAGTTGGAATTCACAGCGGTGCTGTGGTGGCTGGTATCGTAGGCTTAAAAATGCCCCGATACTGTCTATTCGGTGATTCGGTAAACACAGCGTCTCGAATGGAGGCGACTAGTCAAGCGATGCAAATACACATATCTCAATCAACGCGAGAACTGTTATCGCCTTCGTATAAAGTTAAAGAACGAGGAGAAATTGAAGTGAAAGGGAAAGGTATAGCTTGCTAAATCCTTCTAAGTTACTTTTTAATAAATTACCTTAGGAAATTTTCACTGGCATGAATGCTAATTTCAGGTACGATGAAAACATATTGGTTAAAAAAGAGAGAGCACAGGCCATCGTTAACGAAAGGGATCATTATTCAGGAACCACCCCAATGGCACACAAGAAACACCGAGAAAAGAGTATCAGCTAGTACGTCAGCTGCTTCCGCAGCAGCGATTATTTTCGATAATCAAAACTGTTTGGACACGTCTTCTAGAAGAGGTTCCAAGATAGCTTCTCCAACGCCTACCGATTCGACCTTTCTTCTTGAAACAGAAAGAAGAATGTATTCGCCTATTACGTTTCAAGACGTTGCTCGCAGATCTGTCGCGAATTCACCGACGAAGAACAATGATTCTAGGGGTAAGTAGATATTGAAAGATGTGAAACTATGTCAATTTTTTCACCTCATTCTCTCGCATTCAGTGGTGGAACTGGGATTTTTTCTATGGTGGACTAGGTACCTTAGAAATTTCTGAAATTTAAACATTTCAAAATTCTGGGAATTTGGAAACTTTTTAAATCTAGAAATTTAGAAATTCTAGAAATCTGGAAATTTGAGAGTTTAGGAATTCTGAAAATTGAGGAATTGTTGAAGGTTTGAATTTTGTAATTCGGAAATTTTTGAATGCTAAAATTTTGGAACTAATTACCTAATTACACCACTGCCTGTATTTAATTAATCTAATACATCTCTAAGATCAACTAATAATACGGCGTTTTTCTTGTATAATTCTGAACAGAAAAATAATTACAGAATGCAGGTCAAACTCAATGGGAGCAGTAGTGACAAGGAACTCCGAGATGTTCTCCCTTCTGAGCGACACGGAGGAACATTTCCGACAGCACCGAGACAGTTTGTCTACTCGGGTAGAAAATCAAACTGCGGTTATCCAATCGAAACCGGAAGTGAACACGAATTCCAGTTCGTCGTCGGACGAATCTCGCGAGGAACGGGCGTGTTCGGTCGATATAGAGGCTCCTAAACGAGAAAAGAACGACCAGTGCGAGAAGAGCAAAGAATATTATTCGGCGTATCAGAGCAGCGACATCGGTAACTCCCAATCGTTGACGCAACAGGACCAATGTTGTCCTGGTTTCACTATGTCGAAGAGCGGCAAAACTCGTCACCAAAACAATGGCTGTAGCATCGCTTAAATCGTATTTCGAAAGACCACGAATGAACTCGTTAATTTTGACTGAAAGTAAATCCTCTACTTTCGTTGAACACTAGTAATGAATACTCTTCGAATGATTTGAATGATGGAGATTGAAGATGGTTGCTAGATTAGGAATATGTTAAACCTTTGTCTGAGAGTGGAATCTCTACTTTTCACTGATGAGGATAGCCAGGAAGAAGGCTACTTTATTCTGAGTTTGTGATTGTTCGAACAGGTGTGAATCGTCGAAGGACTGTCAGTTTGAGAAGCAATTTTTCGAAGAAGATGCAACATGTGATATAATGTATGGGAAACACGTTACGGACGATTTAGAACATTGTGAACAAAATTCGTGTAAACGTATATTCGCTTTGATTTATTTGAATAATTACAGTGAATGTTAAACTGGATTTACACTGATTGTGAGATATTGTGAAAAATAAAATAGATAAAATTTTTCAATATAAAATATTCGTAATCCAGATATTCAATATCAATCATTTAAAAATACTAGATCATTTGTTTAAAAATAATGAAATTAATTTCTTTCGAGTTCCTTTTCATATTTATTTCTATTTGTATTAAATTAATTTAAGAAATTATTAATGTGATTATTTCATATGATTTTTCAATTATTCTATTAGGTGTACAAATTAATCCTGTGCCTTTAGCACTACACCTTCTTAATTACTATTTTAAATTTGAATATTTTCTCTCCTGTGTATTTGAAAAGTGGAGTAAGAATATAATAACTTTTATTATAATGACTTTTTAAAAATAAATCTTCAATTACAAAGGGAAGAAAAAGCATAGAATTAATTTGTACACCGAATAAAAATATTAATTTAGTTGTGAAGAATGATGTTATTACCAAGAAAGATTCTATAGAGACAATAGATACATACCTGACTCGACAAATCAAATCGGATATACGTTTATGAATATAATTAATAGATTGTGGATGTTTATGCACTTATGACATATCAAAATATGCAAACATTTGCAAACTGTATGTTGCATACGACAAAGTGAAATAAAACGTTCAGAAGATGCAAACCACACGAATTGTGCAAAACAAAGTTATATTATTACTTTTTTTTCCATCGAAAAGGATAATAGAAAAATAATTCATCTGCTTAAAAATTTTCTGTATATGGAAAAGAAAATCTATATTAGTGACTGAATTAAAAAGGAGGAATTATATATGATTTAATATTTAGAATTCCCAATTAAGTTAAAATTAATTTAAATTTGAATTTATTTTGTGCGTTGTTTATTGTCATTTAATAAAAGTGAGAACCATAATAATATATGTAATTTTGAAAAATATCCATGTAGGATAATAGCTAAGGAAATTAAAAAAGTACTGAAATTTCTTATCCAATTCTTAATTTTCTTTTTGGAAATATTTTCATTTTGATATTAAAAATATTTTAGGACTAGCTATTATTTAATAATTTAAATTTTATTTACCTTATTTAAACTATGTTTGAAGAAAAAAGTGTAGATTAATAATAATGAAATTTACTCTGGATGATCTCTTTTGTATTTATTATATTAAAAAGAAATTTTGATCTTTAAAAAATAATGGCAATGATAGATTTATTAATTATTTTACGTACTCATATAATTTTTATGATAAATTATCATTTAGACGCGACTATTGAAAAATAATTAATTTGTAATTGCGACTTTAAATACATTATCTTTACGTTGCTCAAATTATTTTTTGTGCCATACAACGTGACATGTCTTTTCCTTCCAAATCGAAAAGAATTAAAGTTCTACTTTTTGTTGAATTTCGAACTTTTAATTTAATAAAAAAAAAAGAAATGATGTAAAAAATAATATATGGATAATAAATATGTTAAGTATTTTCAACTATATTCTTGCTCTAACCTGCTCTATATTCTCTAAATAATGCATTCTGTTTTTTTTCTTAATAATAATTTTATATAATATTTAACTTAGTGTGGCATTCAAAGTATGAACAGATTTTCAAATTCTGAAAATTATAAATAGTATTTTTTGGTATCAAAAATTGTTGATAGTGATTTTTATAGTATATATTGAAATTTTCAGATAAACTCATGACACAATTGAGATAAAAATACATTAAATATAATGCAAAAATTAACGGAAAAATACAACAGAAGTAAAATAGAAGAATCATCATAAGCTAGCGACGAGTACTACGTAGCCAATTTGCTCGTATCATTTGTTGCATAGTAATTAATAATTGCACCATAGAAATTAATAATGCAATTACTAATTATACATCAAATAATAAGATTGTTCGGGTCTCACCACGAGGAGGCTGCTGCGTTTTGGAGACCGGCCCTACATCCATCCTCTATTTATGCAAATTATTAATTTCATAATTTAATAATATCATTCTTTTGATGCACATTTGCAAAATGACTGTTGCTTGTTCCTAATAAGAATGTAGAAAATTCACTGAAATTTAAACACTGCAGTATTTAAGCTTAATTATCCGATTTTGAGGCCATATAAAATTGCCCTACTTAATTATAAACTTACAACCTGCCTATATACAATATAAAAATCTAAAAAGATATAAATGAATTTGTTGGTTTCATTGTTTTTATCAGAATATATTCTCCGAAACACACTGAAAGGAATTACATATAATTTTAAAAAGCAATAATGGATAGATTTTGTAGTTCGTAAAACTTATTTTCTTTTTCCAATCATTTCTATATCACCTTAACCAACTGGATATGTTGAATTCTACTTTTTCACTCTAAAAAAATTAAAAACATGGAGGCAGGTAGGGAGCTGAAAAGAAAAATTGATTGCCCAAAAGAGCAATCCCTAACAATCCTTACATTTAAACAATAACACAAAACTCCCGAAATTATACGCAATACTAATCGATTGAACGTAAAAATAGTAAAAATTTCAATATCAATCGCGAATTTATTCGAAACACTAATTTAATAAATTATAAAATGAAAATCCCCGAGAGCAGCCATGCAGGACGACGCTCCATTTTACGAAATGCTAATTTATTAAATATAAAAAATAGTAAAGTCTCTAATAAGAAACGCGAATTATATTTTCCGTAATATTGCTTAAACCGAATTTTGTAATACGCAACACTACTTTAAAAAATCTGATGTAGCTCATCAAAGGCTATGAAGAAGCTCCTCTGCAGCTATAAGAGCTGCTTTGTCGTCCACAGTAGCTTACATTGGGTCATTTTTGGGCATTTTATCATAGATCGCAACTCTAATATACAAACGCGAATATTCATTCGAAACCCTAAAGCGATCAACATTATAAAACAATGCAATAATTTCTATTTTGACGAAAAGCTGAAAACAAACACAGTATTTAAAAATTCGCAATGTTAAATCAAAATCCCGATAAATATTCACAACTTTAATTTAAATCACGATAATTAGTCATTCGCCACACTGAATTGAAACGCGTTAATTATTCATTCGCGACACTAAATTGAACCGCGTTAATTATTCATTCGCGACACTAATTTAAAATTGAACCGCGATTTGCCCAAAATTCCAGAGGTCCATCTTCCAGCTGAAAATCTACAACTACTATAACTACAAGCGAGCACAGTGACAAAGTAGTAACGCTAATGATTTCCCATCGTTTTTATAAAAGGATGCAAAATCATTAATAGTTCCCCTTTTCAAAGGCAATTTGCCGGGGCGCTTCAGCATATAGCCTCTTCTTTCTTCGAGCGGTCCACCCACCTGAAAAGGACGTGCCGTGCTCGAGCAGGACTTGTGCATTTCGTGCCTATCATCGCGATCGCGTATGACGACTGATAAAGTCGCCAAAAATTTGAAAAATTGTACAGATAGAATCGAAAGGGAACGGCATACTCTGTTCGCGTCGATTGTATTGTCAATTCTTCAAATATGTTCCAGGTACAGGTTGATCACGCGAAATCGCGCCTACCCGACCAAGAGACTGTGACAACCTGCCCCGGCCCTACCTACTTACAATCTATCACACACACCAGAAGGTATACTACCTACCTACCTAACCCTATATTTAAAAAATGGCAAAATCACATTCTCACAAAAACGCATTCCACGATTTTCAAACACTCCACCCGGGTGCAAGAGCCTAAACTAGGGAGAACGTCCCGGGACGCCTCCGTCACCCGAGTTTCATCTCACAACACACTCTAAGGTACGTACCATTTTTCACTGTAATCGTTTGGCAAGGCTAGCAATCATTACGTATAATGATAATTCCAAAATTTGTTTAATTACTTTAATATAAGATATTTGATAGTAATGGTAATAGTAATGGTAATAATAGTATTTAATTTATAGGTTCATCGTACATTTTGTTAAATACAATATTATTTCAAATTAAAAGATAAGTGAAAAAGCTATTAAGCCGACGCAATTCCACAGCCTAACAACACATACACACACACATGTGGAAATTACGTCGTGCACGATATACTAACACAATGCCAGTCGCTTATTAATTATTTTTCTTATGAACTAGGTCATCGTGCCCATTGCCTCTACCCATCCAAGTAGCACCTGGGCACGTGAATGGGCCTTGGCAATAAACACGGAAAGGGTTAAACCTGAAAATTCTCATCTAGAAACATGATTAGTACATAAACATCTAACGGGCTAATATTTCACCATTTTAAATTGCCTGATATTTAATATAAGTGATTTGACTTGGTAAATATAAAACTTTAAGAGCAAATATTGAAAAGCAAGATGTTAATTGAAATTAATTTATTGAAAAGAAAAGGACGCTAATGAAAAAAAATTGAATGTGAAACTTGATACTTTATTAAAAGCAAAATGACTCTACTTAAGAATTCTTCGTAATGAAAATAGGATTTACTCTAAAAATAGAAAAAGATTAGAACATCCTCGGGCAACTTCCTCCTCAGAGTAAATTTTCAAGAACACCTAAAGGTGTTCAGGTAGATCACTTTGACTTGGAAATCTACCCGTCGCGAATTGTCTTCTTGCACATGAATTGTTCAATTTTTCAAGAACAATTAAATAAATTATACTTTGCTACAAAATAAATAAATCTCTAAATACAGAATAAATAAATATCTAAGTTTTCATATAAAATTGTAATACGAACATTTAGGAATATTCATTTATTTCCTAAATATCCATTGAAATATACATATAGATTTTAAATGATATTCAAACGCGAAGTACAAGAAGACCTAGCCTGAACTAAATGAAATGGAACACAATAAAACTGTTTCTACTCATGAGTATAATCATACCCATGGTCACTATGCTCGCCAACCACGTATACAACCAGTAACCCGTGTCGATTCGGACCATTCGTCCTACGACATGATTGGGCACCGGAGGAATCATAAAGCATGCGACTCACCGTTCGTAGATATACTCTTCTTCCGACAGTCAAGTAGGAGGATGCACAACAACCAAGTAGGAGGTTTGCCATACAGAAGAAGACGGACGTCATCAGGAATATCATCAGGACAGTCATCAGGAATGTCCAGGAACTCAGCAAAATCCAGAAATTCATCTGTAACAAAACAAAAAAGAATTACGGTTAATTTTAAAAATGATTAATTTTGATTTTATAAAATATTTTATAAATTACTATTCTAAACTGTTCAATAAAACGAAATTATTTAGTGAAAAAAGAAAATTATTTATCCCTTTCCAAAGTAAAGTGTGTTTAGTCTTTTCTTCATTGACCTTGGTACCAGTTAATTATTAAAAATGCTTACAATTAATAACGATTCAATTTAAAAAAGTGGTAATAAATATTATTAATTAATTATAATACATCAAAATGTTACTAGTTCTTTACGAAATTGTATTGCGAACCAACATCAACTATCATGACGTCGCGTATTATCAACATCAACAAAATATTTGTAACAAATCAAAAATAAAAATTTAATGTGAAAAAATTCAACCTGCATCCATAAAATAACAATTGAATTCTATTAATTATGCAAAATATTTTAATTATAATAGGTTAGAATAACTATATGCAACAAGAAAAAAAAATAAGAATGTAATTAGTCTTTCCCGCGATATTAAATTAATTTATTATTAAAAATGTGTAGATATTAAACGAGAATAACGTTAATATCTAAGTAAATGATATTATAAATCGTGATTATGTCCGTACCTATACGGACGACACTGTTGATACGTCTTATCGCTTCGATAGCCAAGCAATGAATGACAATGATCGTCCTTACGAAGAACGCTCGGGGTTGTTCGGTTCGGTAACAAAGCTACGAAAGTGAACTACCGATTTTATTACGGTTCAGTTTCGATTTTGTACCTATTCAAAGAATTTTAAATATATCAGAAAATTAATTTTATTGTGCAATTTTAATTATAAAAATAGTTCAAATATAATAAATGTCATTAAATTATATCTAAATAAATGAATAAAAGTCACTTACAACTTGTTCCCTGCGTAACCGTCGAATCCATTTGAATACCACCTTGGTGTCATTTCTGTTCTTCTTCTTTCTTTCTCTATAGTTCGATATATCTGTACAAAAATTACAATAAAAATGTAATATTATAGTTAAATGTAATCGCGGGAAATGTAATCTGTTGTTTCTTACAAAATTTTATGTAAAAATCAATCAATTGCACAGAACATCGAGACAACCACAACTTTTTACTCTACGGAAACAGGAAACTAATGATCCTTCGGTCGATTTATAAAGATGGCGGTGCATATAATTTAAGTTTGAAAATGGTGTTTAGCGGGAAAAATGAGAGAAAAGAGAAAGAAAAAGTAACATGTAATAAGATTATTAAAAATACTTTTCCAGAATACATTTACATTTGTACTTAAACATAGATCAGTTTCTAGATGAATAAATTAAATAATCATTTCGCTAATTGCTTAAAATAACAAAAATTCTCATTCTGAATCATAAAGTGTGCAACAAAACAGCTGAAAAATTGCGGTTTTGCGCCACGTCGGTATTTCAGTTCTTAAAACAAGAACTCTCATAAGATTGAATTATTTAATTTAACTAGGGAAAGTAATATCTTATGTTTATTTATGAAAATAGATTCCTAAATTATATGTTATTATGTGCAAAAATTGTTTAAATTATATTTAACCTTGTAATTCCTTCACAGATTTGAAGATTTAGTGACATCTAATGGAATCTGACTACATCCGTGATATAATGTAAACCCATTGTATTCAAGTATAACAATTGCATATGTATTTCATGAAATAAAACTTTTAAAATTAAATAAATTTGAAATGTTTTAATGGTTTCAATATTTAAACGTTAATTTATAAATCAAATGTTTAATACATTTATATTTAGTATCACTCTATATAAATATTTCAGTCTTATACAATCTCTGATATACATATGTATAAGATGCTAATCGCGTGTTAATCTTATGATTTTAAATCTATATCATGAAATTTGTGGAGAGATAATAAATATTTTACACGCTTTAGTCGGCGTTTATTTAGATTGTTGATAACATATTTAGTACAAAAAATTTCAGGTTAAAGCCCTCCGTATTATCGTTTTAAATGAAGAAAAATGGGCTTGAATCTGTTTACACTAAATAGCGAAAACATTTTTTGCTTATGTGCAATTGGCTATTTTCTTTTACCTATCGTATCAATCGAAAGCGAGTCTCGATATAATGATAAGTTTGAAATCATGACGACTATGGCAAGTATTCTATTCTATCTTATTCCATAATAAAAATTCATTAATTATATATTAACTACAAGTTTTAGAAACCTAAAGATGAAATATTATCACAAACCAAGGATAACCTTGGTTTTTTACATGCACTTATAGCTTCTTTATCAGTCATTGTTGTCTCTGAATTAGGAGACAAAACATTTTTTATTGCTGCTATTATGGCTATGAAACATCCACGATTGACAATTTTTGTAGGAGCGATTAGTGCTTTAGCTCTTATGACTATTCTTTCAGGTATTACCATACATTAAATTTCTGCTAAACAGCTTTATCTCTGATACACTAACTTGTATCAATTCATACAAATAAAATAAAAAATTGTATTTGTTCTTATTCGATCCTTAGTAATTTTTGGATATGCTGCAACTATAATCCCACGTACATATACATATTATATTTCTACTGCTCTGTTTGCTTTATTTGGCTTAAAAATGCTACGAGATGGTTATAAAATGTCTGCAACAGAAGCACAAGAGGAATTAGAGGAAGTACAGTCTGATTTAAGGAAACGGGATGATGAGGTACTATGATTACAACAGCTTCAATAGCTTCAGAAGTTAATACATAGTGTGTATCTCCTAAAGTAATTATTTTGAAACTATTTGTTAACATTTTTACACACTTTCAGTATGAAAAAGAAACAGCAACCACATTAGTACAGGATCCAGAAACTGGTGTTATAAGAAAAGCTACAAAAATTAGCGCACTGATGCTTTTATCTAGGATATTTTTTCAAGCATTTACATTAACATTCCTTGCAGAATGGGGAGATCGTTCCCAGCTTACAACTATTATACTTGCAGCAAGGGAGGTAATAAATTATTGTTATTCACTTAATTATTACAAAAAAGAAATCAATGGTTTTAAAATGTAGAATTATTTGTTACTTTTAGGATGTTTATGGAGTTGTAATAGGTGGCATATTAGGACATATGTTTTGTACAGGATTAGCAGTATTAGGAGGTAGAATGATAGCCCAGAAAATTTCAATAAGAACAGGTAAAATATACTCAAATATATGTTTTTGTATATGATAAAAAAAAACCATTATTTATTAACTACAATTCAGAACTAAATAAAAATGAGAAACTTGTTATTTTTAGTGACCATAATTGGCGGATTAGTGTTCCTACTATTTGCCTTCACAGCACTTTTTATCAGCCCCACAGAAGATATATGAAACCACACATACAGTATTTATATAGCTATATTTAATGAATCATGTACTGCTATAAAACAATATACATATTTTTCTTATTTGAAAGTACCTATGCATAAAAATACAGCTAGTAACTGAAGCTTAAAAGATTATAAGTTTTAATTTTATATTACTTTATTTTGCATAGACTTCGATTATGAATTTTAAACACATGTTTCAAATTTTAATACACATAGTAGAATTACCTTGTGGATCTTTATGAAACGCTGGTATTGTTAATACCGTTCAAATTTTTAATAAAACAGAATATCTGTGGACTATAACAAACTTTTAAAAAGGAGATTATAAATTTAACTATAAATAATTTATTAAAACTATTAGGACAGTATTTTAAAAATTATTATATTTCTTACACATGCACGTAGTTAATCAAATTTCGAAATATGTAATAAAGAAACTTCAGTTGTATTTTTATATTATAGTCTATGGAACAGATATACTTATATTTATATTTTATTTTATTTGTAAAATATTGTCACAAGAAATTGTAAACCTACAATGTTATGAAAATATATTTTTGTAATGTAATCTGTTTGTAACTATTGTATGATATATTGGTACTTACAAATACAATCTGCATAAATTATAGAAAATTTTATAGCATAGAATATCAATTACTTCGTATCTTCTTTTTCTATTTCAATATTATTATATTAAATTTCTTTTTGCTTTGCTTTAATATTGCGTACAGAAGTTTCATATTTTTTTAATAATTTGAAAATTAGAAAAAATAAGATTTTAAATTTGTCGTTAATTAAAAAATTGATGAAACATGATTTTCGTATCTACAGTATCTTGAATAAGATGACAACAAAAAATTAAAACGGTAGATAACAATTCATAACATGGAGAAATGGTAAATAGTATCACTGTAAGACATTTTATTAGAATATATACACGATCTATTTACACTACGTAAGATTTTTTAAAGATTTCCGAAAACATTTATATTAAATTATTATTATCATGTTTCTAATACTAGTATTGTTTTATTACGAAAACTTAAAGTATTAAATCTACATTCGTATACCACGATTACAAATAGAGTAAAACATGCTGTCTGTAATCTAGTGAAATTTTAATTAAATAACGAAGGTTAATTTAATGACTTTTTGTATAAATATGAAATTAACGAACAAAAATGAGTTCTTATAAAGTACATTAATGAATAGATTTATTTTAAAAGAAATAACGAAATATAAATCTGCTATAAAATCAGTCTCTAAAGAGAGCATAATACTAGCGTCTTATAATTTAATTAGTTTTTTCAAATATCAATAAATATGAGTAGTATAACACGTTCATAATTCCGTTAAGTATTGTAACACAAACTTTTATGTAATTAGTAGCAGTATAAGTATACATAGCTACTGAACATAAATGCTACAGTTAAGGTTGTACTGAACAGCATAATATTACGTACGTTAGGTACGAGATTAATCTTTATGATCTATATACTATTCGTTTAATATTCTGTTATATGCATTATTGATTTTAAATCCAGTTATTTAAGCACTGCAATCCTGTAAAATATAGTTCAATGGTCCGTACATTTATTAAATATATACAAATTTTATAACTAATCAATTTCCTATGGAAATATCAACAGAATTAACGATAAACTTTTCACTCTTACCTAATAAATGTTAATACAGATTGATTCATGTTGGACTCGGTTGACTGGTTGTTGTTCTACATTGTGCTTCAGATACTCGTAATTTCTCGACCCTGTTCAATGGATCCATTAGACTTTTTTCCTCAGAAGCAGCAGATTCAGCTGTTTCTGTAATAAATAAAGAATGGATGTTATGTAAAATCTATGATAAACGTATTTAGAATACTTACCTGTTGAGTATTGATTATTAGTTTGTGATATAAGATTTTGATTCTTTCGTGCTTGATCAATATCTCTTAAACCTTGTTCAATAAAATCTTGGAAAAACTGATGAGATTTTAATAGGAAAGGTTGCACATCCGCTTCAGGATATTGAAGTTTAAAATCATATAACTGCATTAAACCCTATAAAATTCATTAAATACTCTATAAAGCATATCAAATTAAATAACATTTAAAATGAAATATAATTGTTCATACTTCTTGTGTATGTTCCTTAGAACCAATCTTTTTAAATATTGCAGACAATTGTTGATGAGTAAACTTCGACAAATGCTCCTGAGATTTACCAGTATTACTAAGTTTTATACTTGTTTTAGGGTTGCTATTAATTTCATCTGGTTTAAAGGTCTGTTAAATTGTATTATCGATGAATTAGACATTTATTTCTTAAGATCTAATACCATAGAAATATTTAGTCAAAACTAACCGCAATTAGCCTTATAAGATAAGAATGCAATTCCGATTCATTTGTATTATTTATTCGAGTTAGGTGACTGAGTATTGTGCTACCTTTCACGCGAGTCATACTATGAAGAATTGTTTTAATCGTTCGCAATGGTGTGTCAGATTTGCGTTTCTTCCACCATACACTTGGATAATCCTGTAAAATATGATCCATAAATACCTTATTTATTGAAAATAATATCCAGAAATGTATATCACAAGAGACATACTTTAAGGAAACGGTGTACTTCTAAAAGAATGGTATCGTAATCTAAATCTGCAGCCCAATTAGGGATCGTTTTTACTATTTTCCATAAACATTTCATAACCAATTCTTCGTATTTGGAAGGAGCAGTAGATTCAGCACATCCATGAAGTAATTTTATTAAAACACTAAAAATATATTATAAATTAGTAACTTATTTCCAATGTAATATTAGTGCAAAAGATTTGGAGTTTTACCATATAATAGTAGTATGATTCGAATTGTCTATTATTTTGCAAACGATACTGTTAATTACACGATAGTATGCTTCTGCCTGATGTAAATGATCCAATTTGTTCTCAGCCAACAAACTGATCATTTGATCCACAAGTTCTTTCAAATGTATTAATGGAACATTTTTGCCAAGAATTCCGGTATCATAGAACTGTAAATAAATACAATTTATATAATGCTAGATTACAGTATTTTATGAATACAGACAATTGATTCTTACCGCCAATAGAACCATAAACGTATTCCTGAAACCTTTTGATATATCTGCTCCTCCTTGTTGTAAAGGATAGGTTTGTAGAAGTTTTAATTGCATGTTTATAGAACCAATAAATTTATCTTCCTTAGATTGCAAACTCAGAATTTGGTGGGACTTTATAAGCTGTAAAATAATTGAATATTACATGTACATGTACATTAATGATTTAAAAACGTATATTATAAATACGAACATTATCTATACTGTTCATTGATTGTATTGCAACTGCCAAATCCAAACTAGCCATCGCGAGAATTTTACGTTCAAGACTGTCTTCTTTACTAGCGTTTGTTGTAGTTATATGTTGCTGAGACATTGTCGCAGATTTCGACACTAACAATTTAGGAGGAGATATAGGGATCACCCTAAAAAATTACATTTATATAAATATGACTATCACAAAGAAGAATAATAATTACTTACGGCACTTTGGATGGATTTAATGCATTCGGTGATTCATTCAAATCATTTAGATTAACTTCCAAAAGAACAGGATTTCTGTATTTCACAGGTGCATTTAATTCAATTCTTTGTAACAAATCCATATCTAATCCGAATGGACCTGATACTTTTGGTTGAGTTGACGTTGGAGAATTTCTAAGAGTTAAGAAATTTTTAAAATTATTAATTATATACCAGAATACCATAAAATTCGTAACACGAATAGACACCCTCAATACATGTTACTATTAAACTGTTATATTTTTCTAGCTCATTTTTACCAGTTTTGAGTCACAAGACTTAAAATGTATCGATTGTTTTTATAAACTTGTAGACTACCGCTGGCAAAGAAAGAGCACATATTAACACTTAAATGACCGCATCTCAGCATTGAAACACGTGAAATCTCGTGAGCGGATGAAGTGTTAAGAGAGGAGAATAGCAAAAAAAAGACCAAAATATATACACTGCAATGACATTAAAAAAAATGCATACAACAAAGTTAGAAACAGAAAAAATATTTGATTTCATATTTGGATGCATCTCCTATGTACCCGCCACCTTACACAACACACTGAAAAAAAAATACACAGAAAGCACAAACGTTTTAGTATCATCTTCATGATCTGCTGGTGAGACATTTATTTCTGCTACTATTTCTGAAGGTTGTTTATTGCTATCAGGAGACACTTGCTCTTCATCAGATGGTTTTTCTGTTGTTACATTTACTGGAGGATCATTATGTGGCCTGGAGAATAATTAAAAAGCAAATTCATGCAGACATAAGTAACATAAAAAAGCAGTAAAATGTTAAATAAAAAAAATATGTTGCAACTTTATGAATTGAATGATGATATTAACAATTGAATATTAATGTTGAAAATTATAAAGTTAATTATATGATTAATATCTAATAATATTAGTACAAAAAGCATAACTTTTATATACACCTATTATTAAAAAAAAGTTCAAAGTTAAATGTAAATATATATATATGTATAATAGAGTACATACAATTCATTTATTTGTGGTTGAGAAGGAGGAGTAGGTTGTGGTTCAAGTATTTCTTCATTTTCTTCTTCAGATTCTGCTTTAATATCTTCATTAGAAGGAACAGGGGTTGCATTCGAAGGTGCTGAAAGCCTACTTGCAGAAGCCGATTTTGTTGGACGATTTTTAGCAGCCCTTTTAATACGTTCATCTAATAATGACTGGTCTTTCTCGGATATCTAAAATATAAATTACTTTTTAAAAAATTCATAACTAAGTATAAATTATAAGTAATAACCACATATTACTTTTCAAATTATTACCTGGCCAATAAGTTTGTATACTCGTTCTCCTTGAAGAAAGTATGCTTGGACAATGCAATTTAATGCAGCATTTCGAACAGAATTATCACGATCTGCTATTTGCTTTGCTATTTCTTTTAAAGCTACAGATGCAGAAGGCTGGCATACAGATAGTCCATAATTTTCAATAAGTGAACCTAACTGGTCTAGACATTCTAAACAAAATATGTGTATATAATTTAGTATTATTTAATTATATTTTCTGTTTGGTTTTCCATTAGATTATGTACCTGTTCTCTGTCGGGCATTTTTAGATTTTAAACCTTCCATTACATATGAAAATAGCTTGCTTACTGGATACACCAGTGCTATTTGTTTAAATAATGCTCGAACTCCGTTACGTACTGCATCTTTTGGATCACCAATCTAAAGAAAAATTTATTATACATTTATATATAATACTGATAAAAATAGTATTACAAAAGAAAAGTGTTATTTACTTTAATAATAAGATATGGAATAAACGATGCCGCTTCGTTCTCCAACATATGATACTGATCTTCAATTAATAAATTAAATACCATTCGCAAGTATTCTAAACCTTTTAGTAATACTGAAGGATTGGTATCAAAGAATCGTAATGTCAACCACTTAAGAATAAGATCCAAATTAGATACCAATGCTTTACTGTTATCAGGCAGATCCTAAGATTGATAAAATTGATATTAATATTGATACAATATTAAATTCGCTATAAGAAAAGACAAACCTCGGTTAATGCCTCGATAGCTTTAAGGTGATATCGAAAATCTGAATGAAACATGTTTGCCAGTAAAGTTTTGTTCACATTTGCAGCAGTCATAAGTTCCTTTAGAAGTTCAACAAATTCTTCTCTAGGCGTGGTGAAGTTCCATTTTAGCACCTTTAATTTCTGTTCATCAATTACTCTTTGGTGTTTCAGATTATTAATAGCTAGTAGAGGACTTGTATCCACATCATCATCCTTTTTACGTGCACTTCCAGGTTTTGAAGCAGCTTGATTTTGTTTAGGCTTTACTACTGCTTTTGAGGCTTTCATAGCTCCGGCACTCTTGACAACTTTTTGATTGCTTTCTTCCGGTGGTGGTTTTTTTGGTAAAGGTTTAATAGGTAGATTCGGTCGAGATTTATCTAATGCAGTAAGTACTACTGTTCTTGAACCAGGTTTTAGCTTTTCTGTGTTTCTAGCCATCAATTCATAGGAAAGATGAATCATGAATCCTAAAACTGCTTCTTGAGCGTACTTTCGAACATCAGAATTACGATCCTCTAAATTACTATACAAATGTGGAAGACATACGAGAAGTTCCTCTTTTGGTACTTGTTTAACAGGAATCAACGGTAGTTTTTGTGCTAACCAATTCCAAACTTCTGCTCTAAGTATCGGTGAGCCGGATTTTAATACATCTCCTATCATTTCTCCATCAAAAAATTCTTTATAACCACATTGATCTCCCCATGTGTTTATACATGATATTGCTGCTGTTCTGATCCAATTTTTACTATCACCCAAACATTGTATAAAACCAGGAAATAGAACTCGAATATGTTGTTTTGCTGGTGGACCCATTGCTATAGCTAATGCTTGACATATGCCCAAAGTCGACTGAGCTATTTTACTATTACTATCAACCAATCGTAACGCTAAACTTTGTGGTAAATCACCGATAGATCCTTTTATAAATTTCGCATCAGAAATGATGGTGTTTATTTTTTGTAAACCCTCATTTCGTACCTTATTTAAATAAAAATTTAATTATTCATAACATAAAATAATTATATTTTATTATCACAAGTAATAAAATGCTTACCTTCCAATTTTTATCTGCTAACTCGTTAAGAAGGCTCTCTGTAATTTGGTTACTAATATCAATACGAGGAATAAGGTTATTAATATCAATTTCACTATTGCTACTGGATTTTTTCTCCACTTCTACATCGTCGTCGTCGTCGTTTGCTTTATCCTTTTTATTTTTTACTCCACGGAACGGTACTGGTGGAGTTTCACCATTATGCTAAAATTAATATAATACATATCAATGTATTATGATGTATTACAATTATGTATCTAAAATCAACAACTTATCGTAATAATGCAAAAGTTACCTTTTCACATTCTTGTTCGATTTGTTGACGCAAAGCAGGTTTTTCATTTTCAAAAAATGTAAGCAATGGTCTACCCATAAATAAATATAATGTACCTAACAATGTAATAGCTGAGGTACGAACACCAGGATTTGTTACCGCTACTGCTTTCTTAATATTTTCCATTAAAGATTTAACATTGACGCTACAACATAAAAATATATTCTAATGTAATATATTCTAATATATTAAAATGTTTGCACAATTTGTGATTAGAAAAATTTATTACTTACACACAACCAAATTCAGTAAGACCCCTACTCAACACTGATAATGTTTCTTGCTGAACTTTGGGATTCTTTTGATTAAAGGCAAACGCTACTATTTCATCTGCCACATATTCAAAGCTCGTTGCTTCTGCTATTGCTAACAATGTTTCTCCAGCAACTGCGCTATTTTTTGCATCTCCTAGTTTTTCTGTTATGTCCATGATACAATATTCACAAACAGTACTATAACGAAATAATATAAATATATACAAGACGTTTAAAAAAATAGAATTAAATACATAAAGAAATAGAAGCCTTACGTAGAGAATGGGAAATTTTCTGCCAAATATTTTACTATTTCTAATCGCAACTTGAGAACTTGAAAATTCGTATCTTTAAATCCCGGTTTCTTTGCTAGGGTTCGCACAATAACTTGGGTAGGAACTTCTGTTGGATCAGTTTGTTTTACAAACTGCAAAATACCACGTTATTAGCTAGTGCATTTTACAATAATTTTTATTATAATAAATAAATAAATTTCATTACCTCCATGAGTTGTTCAACTGCAGTTAAACGTGTCTTCCAGTTACTATCTACAAGACCTGAGAGGATGTCACCTGGTAATAATTGCATAGCCATTTCATCTATTTCTTCGGCACTATAATTCTTTTCTACTTGAAGTTTTGGTGCAGATGCTTTCTTTGAACCAGCTGGGAAATGCAACAGAAGTTAAATGATATTTATTACAATAATAAAGCATCACATCGAATCTTAAGATTTACCCAAGTTGGTTAAAGATGAAGAAGATGGCTTCTTAGCTGAAGTTTTCTTAGCATTACTAGTATTAGGTCTTTTTGGAACTTTAAATTCTGATTCTTTAGACTTTGCTGCTGATTCAATTTTACTTGGAGCTGTATTTGGTCTTTCTGCAGCTGCTTTTGAAGTACTAGGTATTTTTACATGTATTACCGCTTTTTCTGCACATTCTTTTATCTGATAATGAAAATTAAATATAAATTAATACAATTTATACAAATAATAACAACTTTCGTGCACAAAACTATCAATTATAAAATACTTTTGTCATTTTTAAGTTGTCAAGATCTGTAAGGAATGGCATCATCGATTTTTCACCGATTAGTTTCATTGCTGTGCCAAGAGCATCTGCAGAACAGTCTCTAACAGTTGGATCTGTAATCAATGAATACAACCATGCATTAATAAAAATATTCACTAAAAAAAAACAAAAATGCATTTTAAAACATACCTGGTTCATTTAAAGTTTTCAAAAGTATAGTAGTATAAGCTTTCAATAATTTTTTATTTAAGCTTGGTGGTGGTGTACGTGAAAAGCACCTTGCTAAATAAGCTGCTGTTTCTGCTTTTACTGCGGGATTTTTGTTTTCCAATGCAGCAACTGAGTCTTCTAATATAACATCAATGGAAACCTAATATATATACAAAGAAATATGTTACTATTTGTATATTATTCAAATCTGCATATTCGGATAATTTTGTTTATATTTACGCTAAGGAAAATTGCATCAGCAGCTTCTCTAAGCGCTTGTACAACAGTTTGTTTCTTTTCACGGAACTTTTCTAAAATTGATGAAAGGCATGCCGTTGCGTAAGATTGAAATCGTTTCTTGAGGCCAGTTGCTAGCCCTGCTAGACATTTTCCCGCGAGTGTAACCACTAATACATTGGTATCTTTGGAAATTACCTGTTTTTAATATTTAAAAAGTAAATAAAATATCATGTTTTAATTAAATGATATAAGCAGCATATATAAATTACAAATACCTTTTTCAAAGCCCTTACTACATCTCCATAATCACCATTTGCCAATTTAGGATTCTTTACAAGAACTTCTAAAGCTTCTAAAGCTTCCTTTCGTTCTTGCCACTTTTTAGCCTCAATTTTTTCGTGAAAATCTTTTGGAAGTTTTGAAAGTATATCAACGGGCTCTAACAATTCATAGGGATCAAGTTCAGGAATAGAACCTCCATCACCATCATCTTGGCATTCTAAAATATAGAAGAGATCTTTAATTATCAGTAAAAGGATAAAGCTTATGTCAAACGACTTCAAAACCATTTACCTTCACCATTATCACTTGTAGAATCTACAATATTTGTTACTTTGGGTTTTTGAGATTTCAGAAAACGTATTGGTACCACTTTTTCCTGTTTTAAGTTATTAAACTCCGTTTCCAATTCTGTAAGTTGTACTGGTTTCAATGTATTCAATTGTTGTTTCAAAGGAGTACCTATCCATCTAAATGTTAAAAGAGATTGACATAAAATGAGTATTCAAATTAATGGCAATTATATTATAATGCAGTAATTAAAATCAATACCTGTATATTTCAACAACCATAACTTTGCCCTCGTCTCTAACGATTTTATCCCTATCCTCAAGAAAACCAGGAATCTTTTTTATTAAAGGTTTTATATTAATTACTTTCGGGCCAAATTGCCTATAAAATTAAAAACGATTATAAAACATTAGACAATAACTATCATTCTTCTTTATAATTACACTATTACCTCAAAGCCAATGTTAAAGTTGAAATACATGCAGCAACAATTTTTGGATTTTTTGCTTCTGTTCCTTTCAATAACTCTTCTTGAACAGCCTCATGTTTTTCAATTTCTATATACATCAATGTTATTTGCACTGCTAAATCCTTTGTTTTAGTTTTAGGTGCAGCAATACATTTTGTCACTATTCCATTCATAACTTCACCAACAGTTCTGCAAAATAATTATATGAATAATTCTGTATACAATTTCAAAATAATATAAAGTAACACTTACTTTCCTGCCACAGCAGCATTTTCAAGGAAAGCTAATGCTGCTTCTAATCCTTTTTCTTGTGCAACAGCATTACTATCTAATACAAACTTTTTAATAAATCCCAAAAACTTGTTCCACTCAGGAGATTTTTCATCGTCAATACATTGAAATGTGTTGACACATTCTTTATACCCATGCAAACGGGCTCTCCACAACTGCGTCATATTAATATATTAACAGAGATATTTAAAATATAACTTCTCTTGGATTAATAATAAAAAGCTAAGTTAACAGATATATTACCTTATGTACACATCGTTCTTCTAATGGTAGTTTAATATATTCTGTATCTTGTTCCATATTTCAGACCTACAAATATAAACATTTTAATATGCTGTTAAGCTTTCTATTGTCTTCATTTCTAACACCTACTAACAAAATCTTGGGTGTACTATGGGATGATTATTACTTTTTATGTTCCTAGTGTGATATATTATTTAAACAAATGATTTAATATTAACAGTGTCTTACAAATACATAGTAATAAAAGTAAACATTACTTTTAATTGTACAAATAAAGAAATGTAAGGATAAAACATAATTATGTACAACACTGGATAACTATAACTTTTAACATACAGAGCATGTTCACATATTCGTCAATAATTTTATTTAACACCTATACACATTTTGTCAAATCTAATATTATCACCTGAAAGTGAAGAAGCAATTATGCAAATAGAAGGAAATAATAAGAATAAAAACTATTTCTAAATTCTCAAACACTGTAGACAGTACATAGATAAAAAATTAACAAATTGTTATTATATTTATAAAACAATTAGAATTATATACAACAAACAATCTTTCCATTAGCTAATTAAAATCATAGTTTAGGAGTACTATTTATTATAAATTTGTTACACATCGATTGCTTCAACGTTAACGGTTTACATATGTATATAGGTATATGTATATATATATATTTAAACAAACATTAATTTATTGCTACAGATGATTTCAGTGGTTTGAAGAAAGGAATATGAAAAATGTTATCAATCATAGCAAAGGAGTTTTCAAATGCCAGGATATAATAATTACAAAGAATCGTTAAAAATCTAAACCTACCTTACAAAACGAAGGTATATGAGAATATCTTTTGACAGGATAGTCAATCTTCTTAGAAAAATCCTCGATTCAATTCATTAAAATCATTCACGTAACCAGACTACAAGGCCTACGATGACCTTTTAGCAGCCGTTGAGTCTTTTACATTTAATTTTCAAATATAAATTCTGGTTGCAACCGTCAAGACTCAACGCAAACAAAAAGACAACTGTATCTTTCGAAACTACGAATTTCTGAACCCGGTCAATGTTGCAGTTCACCATTTTCATCGGTAGATGGTGCTAAAAGCGAATTTCTTTTGTTTCAGAGCTTATGCTTTGTTCTCTCTATTTGATTTTGATTTAAAATTTCTATTTAATCTTTAAATTCCTAAATTACTAATAAAATCAACAATGTTTCAAGAACAATTAAAGAACAATGCCGTCTTATGCGCCAGGCGCATAAGACGCAACATACAAGTTAATGAACTTTCTTGAAATATACATTTACCATAAAAGTTTTAATACAAGTGTATAAAAAGTATATAAATAATACGAGTATATAAAATAACATTATATATTTCACAGAACTAATAAACTTCTAATTATATAGTTATTCCTTTGTGGATGGATTTAGTTCTTGATAATGATCTTGGCCAGAATCATCGTTAGCTTGTATTTTCAGTATTCTACACTTTGCTACTTACTTAAGCATAGTAGATAATAAAAGATTTTTCCTATTTCATATATTCGCTGCAATTAATAAAACAAAGTATAGAATAAAAATTATTCAACAAATATTTTATAAACTTATGCCATTTTGTTATTTAAAGTCTAGTTTTCTTAAAGTATCCTATCTACTGGTTTATTTTGAAGCTTATAAGTACATATATTTAAATTTGTTTCTCATATTATGTAGTTATGATGAAAGCAAGTCTAATTACGATTTTAAGAATTGCATAAGCTTAAAACATTTGTCAAATAATAACAATTAATATATTGTAACGATAATAAATCATCGATTTTAAACTCAATATATTATAATAAAAAAATTTAATTTATATAGGTATAATATTCTGATAATGTTGTTCCATTATAATTAAATGAAACGTTAAGTCCTTTTTATATTTTGATCGCTGGTTTATTACAATATAATTATAAAATAAATGAATTATTCGTTACATTTATGGATGTATTATGCACATTAAATCATAAGATGTAGGTATAAAATAATATGTAGATTGTTCTAGCAGATATACAAATAAAAAAATTTATATTAAGAATAACAATATCGATCTATCATTAGAAATACTATGTCAATGATACATTTACAAACTACAATGATACTTATAAAATAATAGAAAATTAATTGAGAACTTATTATATAAAAAAGTACAATACATCCGTTTTGCGCTGAAACATCGTAATATGTATAACATGAAATAAGTTAACATATCACTTGCTAATTTCTATGTAATTAGCACCAGCATAAATGTTTAAATTGCAGAAGTTATGTTTCACCTTTATAAGAAAGCGGCGTGAAAAATGATACATTCGTCATAAACAAATGGACATCGTATATACTTACTTTCATATAAATATTCGTAAATGTTAGTACTCTAAATCTAGTACTGCTTGGAGAATCAAATATGTTGGACATATACATATTTAAAAGTAGGTTCGGAGCAGTACCAGAAACATATTCATATATATTTTTTGAAAAGTTTATTTATCCTAAGAGATATACAAAACAAACATTTCTTTTATAACTGTTATATCCCCTATAATAACACAGAAAATTCTGTCATAATTTTCAATATCTGTTTTTATTAATTATTTCCATCGAATGGATACCTTTGTATCAGTACAATTCATTTTAACCAGCTATGTTAAAATTATGCACATCTGCAAATCAGTATTAAAATATTACAATTTCATATTTTACAGTATTCGTCTTCTAGCTCCCTCTAGAACAGGTTTTTTGCTTATATAATCGTACAATTATCTGTTACATGACAATGTGCAGGGGAGATGAAAAGCTTTTTTATGTCAAAAAGTAGTGGTTACCTGCTGAGCCAAATCAAGGTGCAAGTCAGTCTGACTATAACGAAGCCTCTTGTATATTCGTTTTGCATACCAATCTTGGCCACGAAACTTAAATCTTTGTATTACTTAGCCTGATTTTCCTTTTTATTTGTTTGTTTGGTATGCATCATACACAGTTGGCTCTAATCTCAATCCTTAAGATCTGTACATACTAGAATCTAGGAATGTTAATATTACAAGAAACCACAATAATTTATTATAATACAGCCTGCTGTACACCAGATGACTCGAGGCAGTACAAGAGACGCCCTATCTTACTTTTGTAAACAATGAATGGAATCACATGATTCTGAAAGGATTTAACGTATTCCATTATTTGGATAAAATGAATATGAGAGGGAGGGTGACGATGGTAAGGGCAGGGACCACTTCAATCAGCTAAAACTCAAAATTACAATTACATTTTTAATTTGTCTTTAACGACTGTCATTGATTTCGATAAGAACAAAAATTAATTCATTATTTTACATGATTATAAAAAGAGATAGAAAGAAAAATTGAGATTATAATTATAAAGATAAAATAAAATTGAAATTTCAGTATCAGTTTTATAAAATAAACCAAATTGGTTTTAATGATTCATGTATCTATGAATTAAAGTCATTTGTTTTTCCATGTCATAGTACTTCTCATAATACCACTGCTCCACGGCTGGGTTTGTCATCCCAATTTTGATTTAGGAAAAATGTGAATTAGATACTCATTTCGATTTCAATCACTTATAAGCTATAAGGCTCAATCTCATGGTTTAGAATACATTGTTAGTGGAAACTATCACATGTTGGCGCAGATGTAGAATCGAAGTTGCATTAAAGTATATACTTATCCTAATACTTACAACTATACGACACATACTTAAATCAATTACACTCATACAAAGCAGCCCCTTGCCCCCACCTGCGACAGATTTGATTTAAAGAAATATTCTGTACAAGGATATACAATAAGTCTTCTTACACTGGCAGCGAATGAACTGAACTGATAAATATCAAACTATTTTTTGAATGATACCGCCCAACTATGGAGCCGCCGTATCCTGATTTTCTTTACGATAATTACGTTAGCTTGTAACATAGTCTGGAGACAATGTCAACAATGATTGAGCCCCTGCGCCTTCCACCTGATAGAAAGTGGGCACCATATCTTTTTTTTTATATTCTGCTATCCTACGCCATTTTACATGTTACTATCAATATGTTAAAATACAAATGTCACTCATACAATCTTCTCTCGCACCTTTCCATACATACAATTTTAAAATAATTATTATAATCGCGGGTATTTAATTATTATTGTAAATAATCGGGGACTGGTGATTAGTTATTTGTTTTCCTAGTAGTGTAAGTACGCTCACGCTAAGATCAATGGTACGTACAGTAGGTGAGGTATGCTTTCAGGATCAAGGACACGGGGTGATAGATGAAATTTTGTCGTGTATCCGCTATTCATCATCATCTTTATACTCTTCTTCGCTGTCACTTTTTACAGGAATCGGTTGAACTCCTACTACAGGTGCACCGTCTTTCATTTTCTTTTTGTACGCAGTCATTTCCTACAATATAACACATCAAATAATTAACATGTACAATTTATATGAATTACAATATTCTTGGTTTCAAAATTCTCACAATATGTCATTTAAGACAATAAAATCGAATATAACATACTCTTTCATATCGAGCTTTGTCCTTTTCTGCCATAGCCTCATATTTCGATTTGGTTTCAGGATCTGCATCTGACCATTTTTTACCAAGTTCCTTAGCGATATCGCCAACACCAAATTCAGGATTTAGCGACTTCACCTTTCCACGCTCGTCATTGCAAAACCAGAAGAAGGCAGATCTACAGAACAATGAAACGACATTTTCAAGAACAGTACTTTTCCAAGAAATTTAAGTTTACATACACGTTAGGTTTACTTACAGCGATCTTTTGGGAGCATTGTGATCTTTAATGTGTTTACGTTTCTTGCCTCTACCTTTGGTTTCGCCTTTCGGTGGTGTATAGTTTTGCATTTCCGTATCATATCTCTTTTTATCTTTCTCTGCCATTTCATGAAAACGTTTTTTCTCTTTGTCTGACATAGTCTATAATCACAGAGTAGATAATATTAAAATTACAAAATGAGCATCTGTTAAATTCAAAACACATTTCTTTTTTCGTAGGAAAATGCAGCAACTTACTAAATATTATATTCAACAAAATTAAAAATGAATTTAGTTTAAATACTGTAGAAAATTTAATATAAAAATTTGCATTCAATATTTAACAGAAAAGGAACATTTACACTAATACTGCGCAACAGTCAAATTAAACTGTGAATACTGGTGACATCCAAATATATTTTTACCATCTTTGTAGAGCCATGGCTGCTTATGGAATTAATTATTGTCAAATAAGGGAATATGGTGATGGTAGTACATTTATATTAAACAGGATGACAAGAAGTGTGGTTTCCATAAACGGTAAGTTATGGCGGATAGAGGGTGAGACTCGGGTTTGGATGAATCGATCGATAAAAACAGAATCGAAATGTACAGACCATACAAAAATTACTGTACCCATTTTTAAAAAGAATTTCTCTTTTTAATCTAGTGTATACTAAGAAAAAGTATGTAGAAATCTGTAAAAGAATAAAAGATACAAAAAACGTTTGTATCGAACTTGTGAAAGAAAGCATTAAAATTTTGCAGCTGCTGAAATCAACATTTTGGTAATACAACGCGAGGTCAATGTCTTTAATCCTTGTAAAGACCACCTGGTCTGAAGTCTAAAAGAGGAAAGTGCAGAAAGTGTCTCTTTTAGAGGGGTAGGATGACCACCAGATGTTGATGTAGCACCTGTTCAAAATGACGTTGTTTCATATTTCCAAGTTCTTTCACTGAAAAATATACATGAATTTCTTTGTCCATCAAATAATTCACAATATAACACTTTAGATATAATTTATAAATTAGTTTCTTCGATTTTTCTTTTATCCGACTTTATTATAATATTATAGTATTAGCACTAGAACAATTAAGATATTATTGGAATGTATAAATTATTAATTTATTTTTCATTCTTTATTTGACCAATTCGTTTTCAATTTAAAGATAGGTATTATTCAACATCAATTGTTCTAGTGCTACTTACAAAGGTGCGGACCTTCTGAAAAATAAGAAAAATAGAAATTAAGTAATTATAAATACTAATTGTTACATTTTTTAATCTCTAATCAAACTAGTTGTAGTGCTGATGAAATGTCGGAATTATTTTCCTAAAGGGACTATGGTTCGCACTTACGGGGTTTCTAATAGTTTTAACTTCAAGAATCTAAGCTATACTTAACTTGTTCTTAAAGTAGATTGAATTTAAGCCCGTTAAAATAAAAATTAGTTCTAATTGGAAACAATATATAATTACACGTCGTAAAACTGATGATCTTGTCCTTGAATCTTCAGAAGATTACTATTTCAACTTAAATCATGCAAACTTTATATTGTAAATGATCTATTGGACCCTCATAGGACCTTGCAAGGTACAAGTATACTCCATCAAATATTTGTTCATCTTCACTTCCTTTCTTCTAATTATAATTGACACATTTCTTATGTATTATACAGAAAACGAACGAATCTGCTTCGTTCCTTTATAAAATAGGAACAATTTTCTTTATTTAAGTAAAATTAATTATGAATTTTCATAATTGTAAAATGAACTTTACTATCCATTGCTGTAATGTGTCTATCTTTTTAATTAAATTAAAATACCTAATCTCTAGCCCAGAAATACACCTAGAAAAAGAATGAAGTCATTTTGTACCTTGCATGATCATGAACCTAAGCACTTTGGAGTAATATCCCTCTAAGGATTAACGAACAAAATTCAATGAAAATTTCTCACCTTCCACCTCATTGCACATTTTTTAGAAAACTCCCGGAAAACGATCTTCTCCTCAGGGTGTTTCTTTTTGTGCTCCTGGCGACAGGTTTGCACGAAGAACGCGTATGCGGTCATCCGTCCTCTCGGCTTTGAATCTTTTCCTCTCGGCATATTGTCTCGCTGTTGTAAGCTCTGAGCGTTATTTTGCTGAAGATTATTCTGTTGCGACAATTGTTGTATCTGGTGCTGTAATTGAAGAAACAAATACAATGGTTATTAAACGGTGTTACAATTAAATCAGTATCATTTTATTGCTCTCTATCGAATAAATATTTGAAACAACACATATCATTTTATTTTATTTCTTATTTTGATGAAGGCCACCTTATATTTATTGATTTGCAATTTGAACAATAGTAGAGATGTGCTCTGATTATATTTGATAAAAACTGAAATTCTTTTAAGTTTTTCTTGTTTCGCATTAATCTTGAGAAAATTAAATTTAAGTTCAAATTCTTATATTCTGTAAGTTTTCTTGTGTTCCACATTTTAACCGGTTCTACTTAAGATAATGTACCTTGTACTGATAAAATTCTGGACACGTAAACAGCGTGTTCTTCGAACTTCACTATTTTAATTATCATTTAAAATATTTTTGCATAAACAAATGATCTTTCACAAATGCATTTATCTAAAAACAATTAATCACGTAAGGAATGTATTATGTTAGTTTAATTCATTACTAATATAACGTGCAATATATTGGTAATGATTTATTCTATTTCTAATGAAGATTCTAAGTAAAATCTCTTAAAACTATAAAGTTCTCTATTTTCTAATTAATTTTCCTTTATACGTGCAAAGCGTTGCTCCGTAGACTAAGATAATGCTAGGCGCATAGGTATTGCGTGCAATTACGTATGTTATGATTCTACTTATAATAAGTGTTCATAATTCTATGCATTTAAGAAAATTAAAACGTTGTAATACTTTTACATTAATTATAGATGAAAAGCCATCATTAATGACAACTACACGTTTCTATAATTCTGCCAATTTGAACTATTATTGAAATAGATCAGTTTTTTATTATCACTTGTGAGAGATCAAAAATGTATCTTTTACTTTTTATTCCAAAATTGAAAAAAACCATGCAACAAAGGGTCAAAAGACTGAATTTATAAATAAAAAAGTATATTTCCTCGATTAATTAAAGTTTTCTATTAACTCTCAAATGGCGGACCAGGGAAGAGAGTCATAATTTTAATTCAATTTTGTCTTTATATGTTATTTCCATTTTCTAAATTTTGCACTGTTCCTTTAAAAAATTATATATTTAACTTCATATTAATACCCTTGTAGATATTTTTGAAGTTTGGGTCACGATTGACCCAAGCTCCATTATTCAAGGGTTAAATATTAGCTGCCTCTAATGACCCATGTAGCATAAATTCCAAAAATTGTTTAATGAGTTGGTGCTTTGTATAAAAAGAAAAATGATGTAATCGCAGATTATTGACGCAACATTATTAATCCCCCTAATTAAGACATAAATAGTTATCATATAGTACTTATAAATTAACAAGCATACTAGATCTTTATAATGAAAGATCATATGTATTGTATAATGTGAGAATTTCACAATTACAATTTCGTTCAATTGAAACATTAATTTCCTTCCTGCAATGATCAAAAGTCGACATGTAAATAAAATGAAGAATAAAAATTTACATTTTGTAAAATTATTTCCTCTATACATCTTAAAACAAAGATGGTGAGAAAATCAATTTTTTGTTTTCATTATTATACACAAAATTTGTAAAACAAGATCATATCTTCAGCATCAATTAAAATTATTTTTTGGATTGTATGATCAAATATAAATTAGCAGCCTGTCTGTTCAATACAGAGATTAGGTGAACGATCCCAGGTGTGTTAGGTTGCGTATCAAATATCCGATTTCGAAACATAGCAACTCTGAGATAATTTGATGACAGAAAAGTACCACAAAAAAGAACTTGGGATATATCAATTTAAAGCTTAAAGTCTGAAGAAAATGACTACATACGCGGTTCACTAGTTCTCTTAATACAAAATGGCTGAGTATCAATTATAATAAACAATGACTGATATTGAAATGTATAAAGTATGGCACAATTTGATGACATAAAGGTATCCCTAAATACCATTTATGGCTCATTAATTTGAAGTTTAAAGTTTACTACAAATGGTTATATACATTTTTCAATACAAAATGCCTGGTTTTTTGTTAGAATAAGTAATGGATCAAGGAATTCACCTGTTTGTATTGTCTATTAGCAAATAATCAATTTTCAATCCCTTGTATCCCAAAATGGAAATGGATGTATTATGTTATGAAGAATTGATAGATCTTGAGTTATTCGACCTTTTTTAGAACGCTCTATGTAATCAGGTATTAATAAGAAAACTAAACAATAAAAAGTACGAACTGATTGCCTGTTATCTCTTGGTAAGTATGTAGAAAGAACAAACACAAGAGCAAGATCACAAGAACAAAAATATTCTGTTTAAATATTTATACGACAGAGCAGTTGCGTAGCGATAATAAATCTACTCACAATTGTAGAATTTAATCGTCCATAATCTTTTGCAAATTAATTCGAGATTACACTCTAAAATCACTGCGTTCCATAAGTTGAAAACATTCATTTAATACATGAATAAAATTCATTAATCAGTAGTCCAATTACCTTTCATTAAAATATGTAAATTTTTGTTTAATAAATATAGAATACTTTTTTTAACTTTAAAAAGAAATTCCAATATCACAGAATTCAATTATACGTCAATTCCAATTTCCCGGAATTTAATTTATTTTAATTTATGTTCTATGTCCCATTCCACTGAAGATAATGAAATATTAAAAATTTAAGAATAATTAAATATAGTACATTATTAAATTTCCTTCTACCAATTTTCTATTTTTACTTTCCATGTGATCAATAATTGGTGAGTTTAGAATAAATGTGTTAAAAAATTGAGAATATTAAAAATTGATAGTATGATTGTTTATCAATTTAAATATGAACTACTTGATTTGAATACTCTACGGCACTTACAGAACAAACGTGACAACATTTAATATTTTATGGTGAACGCAATAGTTATATATTTATGGAACTTCCGTGAGTTGGTTGAATGGTGAGATTTCATTTCACAATAAATACACGTTACGTAATGATTTTATAAATCATTTCATGATAGTTCGGAAAGTTCGAGGCAAAATTTATTACCGCATTAAATTCACGTTGGAGCATATTATCGTATAAATAATTGCCATATCGAGAATCCTTTAGCCCAAACTATTTTATTAATTAAATCGATGTACGAACTCTTGTTTCCCGATAATGGAATGCATTAACAACAGTCATTTTTTATTGTATTATAACGAACCGATATTTTCACTCTTATGATCGTAATAAGTAAAATTAATATTACAAAAATGATTCAAAAATTTATTTTAACACACCAAATGCAAAATGTAATATTCAATAAAAAATAATAACTTTGAAATATATTAAGTATTGTAATTTTACTTAGCAAACAGAAAACGATAAAAAAATATTACCTACGTACAAGTGAAAAAAGAACTCTCATTTATCTCTATCACTGTAATCTGAAATTTTTGGACTACTTTCTGACTTTCTCTCTATCTGATAGATACGGACTTTAATCTTAACTTTCATTCAGGATCCGCTTTTAATATTGCTCCAAATACGCTTTCGATGCTTCGCGATATTGAATGCTCTTTATTGGAATATCGAAGAACATGGAATTTCGAAGAAATACCTTCTCAACCGACATTCTATGTATTACAATTCTCAGGTAATAATTCCCACTGAAACAACAATTTTCAAATATACTGTCAGTTCAAATGGTGCTTTTTTGCTGCCATTAAAAAAAGGCAGTAATTTTGAATCGTTCAAAACTTATATGTTCAATGTATTGAACCGTATTACAATATAGGAATCTTTTCTACAAAATCAATACTCTATTTCCCGTATAAGTAAAAAAAAGTGTTACGATCTGAAGCAAAGAGTAATTAAAAGAAACTGTATACCCAGGGGTTAGCATATTTTCTATGGTCGCCACTTAAATAATTCATAAACTGACAATTAATCTTGCCGTTAAAAGATACGGTATAAAAGATACATAACGTTAAATCGTATCGTTAAACACGCATGGTTCCCCGCTAATTAAGGCGGAGTATAAACGAAGAAGAAATGAAAACCGTTTAAAATAAGACGGAACGCGAGATAATTATCAAACTGGTATTCAATGCGAAGAAAAAGAAAAGTAGTTTTTCTTCAATCTCAAAATGCGCAAGCTTCGATGTATCTCTTGTACAATATAATAACGTTCATCGAATAATATATTATTAAATTAGTTTTCGCATAAGATTTTATAAAACGAGAAGTATTAAAAACTTGTTCAAAACTTGCGAATTTAATCACAAGATTTGCTACCAAACTCTCCAAGTTTAATTCAAACTTTAAATTACCAATACAAGAGGAATTGTGAGAAAATTAGAAATTCTATTTTATTTTATTTTTTTAATTTTTCTTATGAGTTTGGACGTAATTCGTGTGTAAATAAGTATACCGAAACTTTGCACAATCGTAAGGATGAGATGCCTCGGACAAAAGTGTAATAAAAGAACACAGTGAAACGAGTTTTCAGTTCTTCGCGATTTCTGAAAAATACGATTTCTTCTTTTACCATCTGAATATGGGAAAAGTTTGGAAATTCGATTCTTTTTACGGAAAAGAAAAATGCGTCAATTTCAGCTGCTGAACGACTTAGCACAGAAATACTCCGACAAACTGATAAATGAATTTTAGGTTCGAAACATTTAAATATTCAAAATGAAAAATTTCCATTTTTGGATATGAAAATATTTAAAATTGAATTTTTGTTTCCAATTAATTAACAAATGAATTTTTTAATAAAGAAGAAAAAACAAAATACGGTTTAAAAAGTAAATAATAAACCCTATATGTAGACCAATATTAATGAATCTAGGAATTTCCAGAAGTTTTCAAATATTTGGAAATTAATATCGTCTGAGGCTAAAAATCAAAATGACTATCTATTGAAATTTCCATTTCTAATTACGAACGAGCAAATACACGCTGATCAGGGTAATCGAGAAAAAAAAGAAGGGAACCGGCGCGGCAAGAGTCGCTGTACGAACGTACGTACGAAGAAGGCCGCACGAAACCCGGAATCAATAGCGGACAACGGTCGGTGGGGCAAGAGACGCGAGTCAGGATGAAACGCAGACGGTAGGTCGAAAGCGAACACGATAAAATCGGTTATTAAGATTTTCTGAACGCTAACTGATTAATATCTATTCAGTACAATTAACCCAAAACATATTATGCATTAAACAGAGGATAATAAAAAAAAATCCTGTTAAAAAAAACCATAAGTCATCCTAATAAATTAGAAGAAAAAAGTTAACAAAGAAAAATAGAAATTCATGATAATAAAAGGTGGATTGATCATTATGCGCATCGCTTTCTCGCGTTAGATACCTTGTAATTTCAAATTGAATACAAATATACTGGTTCTCTTTGAAACGAATTCTTTCCTTGCATAAGGTCACGTTGAATAGTGTAACGACACAGGCAAGAATACAATGATTCAAAACATCTACCTAGTGTTGATGATCGTTTAAACTTTTACAACTGAAACAGACTAAATCATGAGTTACCTTCGAGTACTAAGCGTGTCTTTTATGTGGACGCTTCCTACACCTAAGAAATTGACCACCCATGGCATGTTATCGTAATTACTGTAATTATGGTCATACATTTCTTCTCTTTCTTTTTATTTCAAACAATGAAATACTGATACTTGTTCAACTAGTCTAAACTGATTAGTCAGTGTTTTATGAAGGAAAAAAAAAGTGAAAAACCTTGAAACCCGGATATTTACTATGATTATCAATCTACGTATGTAATTAAGCGCATATTGAAGAAATAAAACGCTAGAAAAACGTGTACTTGTGTTTTGGATAATTACTAATAAGACCACCAATAAATTGCTTTCAGACCGCATCTACGAAAAAAAACTTGAATTAAAGTACGAAATGCGACAAAGCTGCAACCTTTAAAAGAAAACGCAGCATATTTCATATTAGACTAATAAAATCTATCGGTTATGAAGCAATGCAAAATCGATTGATAGGAAACAATAAAGACCGGAGCGAATTGATCTGTTGTGTGCAGAAAAGAATCCCGCGTAAATAGAAGTAAGCGAAAATATAGGGTGGACGAAAGAAAAATAAAATTAAGAATAAAAATTGAGAAGCAGGCAATGATGAGAAAAAAGAGGAAGCATAAAGGGGGTCGATCGTGGTCGCAACATACCGGGGACATAACGGGGGGCGTGGACGTTTGTGTGGTAATGGGCGAGAGGTGCTGCTGCTGTTGGCCCTGCAATTGCTGATGCAGGTTGTTCTGTCCGGCGTCCATAACTCCACCTGGGTACCACCACTGTACGCCAGGCGGTGGTGCGGAAGGTGTACCAGGTACACCTCCGCCTGTTCCGGGCCCCGTTCCTAATCTATAATCATAGCCTCCCCTCATGCAAGAGCCAACTGGCGTAGACGTCGAGACTGGATTCGACTGCGTGCCCGTGGTGGCTGGGTTCTGAAAGCTGGAGGCCATCTTGTAGGAGAAAAGCTGCTGGGTAGCGGCAGCGGTACTCCTAACAATATCCTGATGATGCTGTTGCTGTGCTTGCTGTTGTTGCGATAGCTGTTGTTGTTGATTCATCAGGTGTTGATGTAGATTTTGTTGTTGTTGCTGCTGCTGCTGTTGCTGCTGTTGTTGCTGCTGCTGTTGCTGTTCAGCCGAAACGGTGTTTAAACCCGAAGGCCACCAGGCGGTACCACCGGAGGCATCTTCGCGGCTTCCTGGGCTCGCTGTGCCCCAGCCACCGGCTACGCGGTGGTGTTCCGACATATCGTACACGCGGACGGTCTGTCTGTCACTTCGGCCTCGTTTACCGAACGGTGCCGCCAACAAGGAAAAGAGAAGGATGCACGAAAAAATTACACGACACGCACTCATGCACCACACATACGCTCCTCTGTCTCCCTCATACAGCAGGACATGCACACTCACGCACGCGAACGCTGCGCGCGCGCGAACGCACTCGCTCGCTCGCTCTCACGTAAAGGTGATCCACGCACATACACACACACGTACGGTACACGTACCCTCACACATTCATACGGGTCCTGTTCGTGGCCGTCGTATATCGCGCGACACGCACTGCACGCGCTACTGTGCCTCTCACTGTCACACCACGTTTCTGTTGTCCAGCCGGCACACTACACGATATCACTACTAGGTACTCCTGGTAGCACAAGCGACTTCATACACGTTTTTTCCACAATGTATAGAGGAGGTCCTCGTGAATACGTACGTTATACTTGGGATGCGGTCTACTCGACGCTACGTTCAACCGTTCGTTAGCTTCGTGAGTAGGTATGGCGGGTAAAGGAGGAGGGCGGGCGGGTGGGTAGGGGAGGGCGCTCTCTCTCCCCTTCTAGCTCTTTCTTTTTCCCTCTGTCTCCCCACCATCGACAGATACAGTGCGTCTCTCCGTCTCTCTTTTTCTTTTGCCGTCTCTTCGCTCTCTCTCTCTCTCTCTCTCTCTCCGTTCTCTTTTTCTCTCTATCTCTCTCTCTCTCCCTTTTCTTCCCTCCCCTAACTACCCATGGAGCCTTTCATTCGAGAGACACAACGTTTCTTCTCGGCCGCACCAATAAAAATATTAGACATAAATATGTAACTTCATTCATTTATGCGTTCACGTAGCTTCCCTTACGTTAAAGTATACGTATATAATATCGCCTTTTTCTTCGTTGGGAAACGTGACGTTTCTTCTACTTGCTGGTACACACAGTGCTAATTACGCACTCTATGCGACACCACGCTCGCGTAGAGACGCAATGCTTCTTTTACATGTATATGCACACCGACGTTCGACTGTTTCACAGTGGTAGTGGGACGCGTAACAGCTTTTTCACATGGAGAAGCTTACGCGCGGATTGCTTCTCTCGCCACCGACTCTACACGCGATGCCGCACACACAGAGGGCGAACCTGGCGAGGACGGGCTGGCTGGACGCTTGTATATTCTCTCTTTCTCTTTCTCCAATCCGATCCCCTTCCACTTCGACCCGAAGTCTCACTCGCTACTTCTCGTTGTGTCTCTTTCTCTGCGTTTCTCTGTCTTTTTTCTACTCGCACGAGCTTAGCCTTCCTTCCAGCGGACGCCGGCGAACTCGTACAGCGTTGCCAAGCCACGCTTTCACCCGCCCGCTCACAAAGGAAAACCCGAGTACGCCGACCAATCAAACTACATTTCAGCGATGGTGGGGATGGCGGGAGTCTACCACTACTCGCATCAAGGCAACGTCGCTTTCTCTCTTCCGTTCGTAGAGAATTCGAGAGCCATGGCTCGTAGTCCCCGGTAAGGTAGAGGGGCAAACGACTGCAAACCCTTCTCTACCCTTGAAACTCGAGGTCAACTTTTAGGCAGAGAAAGAGAGCGAAAGGGAGAGGAAGACGCACCAACTCTGACTTGTCGCCGTGCGCTCTTTCTTCTCGCGCCTTTTTTTACCCTTCTTAGTTTCGTTACACTGCTACGGTCACTGGAATTTGCTCCACATTGGCACTTCCTGCTTTTCGCGCACCCTTTTTCCTACGTGTCAAGTCGGCTTTACCGACTGAAGAACTCTTATACTCCATGCCACTTGTCAGTCGATATGGAAGAACTTTAAAATTTACAAAAAAGCAAATTGTAAAGGAATCCCTTTTCAATTTCCTCCAATTGTATCAAATTATCCTTTAGTTCTTAAATTTCCCTAATCACATACCTCCTAACAAATACAAACGTTGAACTACCCCCATTCGATAATCTAATTTATGTATATTTTATCTATTCTCTTTCAAAGATATACCATATCTTTGAATTTGTTCAATTTATATATAATGAAATCATCAAATTCCAGTCTGTATAGACGCATGGCTTGACTAGAGCTACTCTTGTGGTAGCATACGTAAATATAAAGTTCGATACAAGAAAAATTAGTTTCTTCTTAAAAATTCTACGAACGATAATATTAGAATGAGTCATTTCCCCGAAAAACATAACTAGTTTTTTTATTACAATAACGAATAAAATTAACCTTTCACTTCGTAGTATAATTTCGAGAATGATGATTTTTTATAAACCTACAAGGAAATTTGAGTATTAAATATGAAATACAATTTATAATGCATACCCTATATAAAATTCTAATTATCAGAAGAAAGATTCTATCTACTAATATGGAAACATATCGTGGGAACGATCAGCGTACGTTGCCATGTTAAACGGCCAAAGCGAGCTCCATAAGAAATTTCTAACATAAGAAATAACCTTTCAGAATTCTAATATTTTTTTTTTTAATCATACATTGGTAAGACAAAATGAAAATGTATATCATAGGATTTGTACGTCAGACTTCCTTTCTTTCCACTCAACCCCCAATCAAGAGGCGGGTGAGTTGGAGGTAACCCGGCAAATCGAGAGAGTGAGAGAGAGAGGAGAAGAGAACCGGGTCCGGGTCAATAAGACGCGTGAGCGAGTGAAACAGAGATGGAAATAGAGAGAGAAACCGAGGGAGCAAGCAGGCGAGCAACTGCGCGGGAGAGAGAGGTACAGCGACCGCGCATTCCCAGGGCTAGGCAACGTAACGAACGAACGAACGAACGAACGAATGCAAGAAGGGGCACGGTGAACAAGGGAAATGGTGGAGTAGCAAGAAAAAGAGAGGTACTGATGACGAAAGGAAGGAGAAAGAGAGAAAGAAAAAGAAACATACGACGAAAGAGAAAAGGCACAGCAGGCAACGAGAGTGCTGGCTTCAAATTCTCGACTCGTGTTGGTACCGCGATGCTCGTTCGAGCGAAGCGAGCCGATTTTATACGAAACCAACCGATTTTATACGAAATCAACCGATCTCCCTCAAAACATGCGATTCCTATCACAAAATGTCAAAATTAGAAAGTAATAATGATTTATATCAAGGTATAAACCTCCTTGCACAACTATTAATGAATCTAAAATTTCTCAAAATTTTTGAAAAAATTTATAACTTTTCAAAGATGCGTAAGAAATAAGAAGCACACAGAAACATAAAAAATAAAGCTGTAACTATGCCGCTGATAATAGATTTCATTGTTACAAAATGGTAATTTGGTTGAAAATGTCTTTTTAAAGTATAATTGCCTGGAAATTACGATAACAAATGCGTGCATGTTTCATGCATATAAACATATACAGTTTGTTGAGCTTTCAATTAATATTTCACTTTGAATACGTATGTAAAATAGTTATAAGCGGATAAATAATATCGGTCAATGGTAGTATGAAAAGTTGATTTTTTAACTAAAATTAATTATGTAGTAAACTCATTTACTATAAAATTTATGTACATTAAAATATGTAATTCACTAAAAACTTGATCAATAACTCACATGTTTCAATGTTTAAAATTCCTAAGCAATAATAAATTCTAAATAATAAAGGTACTCCACATATCTTAAGGGTGTATTAAATTTTTCACACTATCATTATTGATTTTTCAATAATTCATCATTTACAAAAACATGATATCTCACTTGAAGCTTTAAATAAAAAATAATGCGTTAGTTCTTTTTATATCTAAATAAAATAGCACTCAATAAAATGCCTGTACGAGTATGTTCAATTTATAAAAGCAATGAAATGCAAAATTAAAATTAATTGACCGATAAGAGTTGAAAATAAATGCCTCCTCCCATTGTCTATATCTGAATACTTGGCAAGTTGACTTAATGCTTCATGGAAATCAGAATATTCTGTTTGTACAATATATTGGTCAAGCCTGCTAATAATCAAATTGTTTACATTTCATCCATAATATTCTTACATTTAATCGCATATTTAAAAACTTTTAAACTACATAATATAAAGATAATGAATTTGATAAACAATTAAAAAATTATAATTAAATGGGCTCTAAAAATGAGACAATTTTATTTATTCAATAATAATTGCTTTTCTTTAAATGTTCTAATGATAGTAATTTTTTCAGGAATTTATGAGATTTTAGGAGTGTCCTATGACTTTTGAGCGAGAGTGTATCTACTATGGACCAATGCCAAATGTGTACATACATATACATACTTCGTGCTATATGTACATAAGCGTTATATTTGCGTTTATTTGATGCACCTGTATAAAGAAGCAAGGCGAAATATTTAATATCTTTTCCGCGTAAATGTTATTTCTTTATATATTAAATATATCACCACGAATTCATTGTATATATGTAACGTTCTCCCGTTTTTTTCTTGACATCGAATAAATGGTAATTGCGAGCTAACATACATATATGTATACATGTATAACGTTGAACGTGCCTGTCAGTGTTACGCAAGATCACTTTCAATTTTATTATTCCTATATTTGAAATTGCTTTTGCGTTCCATTATAATTCAAGGGAAATATTTTTATGCTATGAAAATACTTGTAGCGAATACCAGTGTCATTTGTTATCAAAATAGTTTTTTAAATATTTATCAAATGTTCTCTAAGCATAAAAGTATCGTTTAATCAAAATGAAATTTTTGTTCTTTTTTAGAGAAAAACAATATTAAGACAGTATTGCGCAGATCGTTATGCAATATTATGCCAATCTCCAGAAATCACGTTTTTTATAATTGTATGCGTATATAAAACTTGTTGAATACAATAGATAAGACAATTTACTGTAATTTTTATCTGCACAATTATTGTGATAACACTGAGAAGTTATCAGAGTAAATCAAAATAGAATCTTTTATTTATGTTTGCATATCATATTTTTCCTAATTATATAGTAATTTTTCTATGTACACCATGCTTATTTTTGTAAATAAAATAATATTAAGCAAACGCTTGGGTGTTTAATTAATGCAATATAAAAACTAATATAGTTTACTTTACAGAATATACTTTCTACTCCTTTGATTTTTATATTGAAAATATTATTACTAAGAAATTAAAATAGGATTTAATTTCAAAGTCGTCAAGTTTTTTTATTGAAATTCGACTGGTCTGCAAATGGCGCAGGGCAATTGGAATTCTAAACAACCGTAAAGTTGATCACTTGAAAATCCGCTATTTCAACTTCTTTCGGATTTTACAGCACGGATAATTATTCGGACGAATTTATTTCGATGTTATATTTGCCGGCAGGGGACCGTTTTGACGTCGTAAAGATAGGTTCGATTAACTCTAGCAATTACCGTAAACATTCTTCTAGCTTCACCCACATACCTGACTCGAATAATACATTGGAATTGCCTAAATAAAAACTGGTCGAACAGGTAACTACAAAAATGAAAGCTGGTGTACAAAAGAAACTGTAAACAATTACTTAAATCCCTATGTATAGCCGTTTGTTCCCATAGTATTCCTATAAAGGGCGGATCCAGAAACTTTAAGGAGAGACTAAATATGTAACGGTAAGTTTGCAAATCTTTCTCTGAACAATATAATATTTCTTTGTAATCTATTCATTAAAACTTTATCTACTAAAATTCTATTTAATACAGATACTAATATCATGGATTGTTGATCAAAAAACAATTATTTAACATTATTTCTTCTCTGTTTTCCATTTGCATAATTATTACAAAAATTTAACTTTTACTACTGAATTTTGATTTCTTTTTTACTGAATAAAAGTAAATGATCGTCAGAGAAAAGTAATATCTCGAAACAATGAAAATATAAAGTTTCTTTGAAATTATGATTTTGGAACAGATGTACACTATTAATTAGGAAGTATCAGGAACTTTTATGTGGGTCAATGGTCCACGGGAATATGAAAGTATGTCTTATAGCAGTATAATAATTACGATGTGGTAAAGAAACACGTTTCGAAAGAACAGAATTTATTGACGAGGAATAAGTCAATTTACTACAATTGATAATAACTCGATATTTTTATTGTATTACTCATTCCTCAAATTATTTCATTTTATTTGTAGAATATATTTTAATTGAGAGTTTAA